GTGGTGATTGTTGTTTTCTGTGGGTAGTCATGTGTCCTTATCACATCTGTCGTCTCTACGTTCACCTGAAGTGCCGTCTTCACTGCCTCTTATAGCAGTTTGCTGGCTTTCTCTTGTACATCCTTGAGTTTGTGCGACACGAGACGTGAGTCATCCACGAAATCCAGATCACCCAGAGTGGTTTTGTCAGTGCAGCGTTTGCCCATCTTCTCAGTCCTCACTGCCAGCCGCATGATTCAGTCCAGCACAATCGGCAGGATCATAGGTCATAATAGACAGCCATATATTATTCTCGTCTTCACTGCAAACGCTTCAGTGAGCTTTCCGTTGCGAATTACTCGCAATATCGCATCATCATATCGGTGTTGAATGAGCTTGATAAGTGTTTTCGGCACTGCAGACTGTAGGCTTGAAACAGTTTCCGAGTTACTTCACGCTCTGAGCTGTCGAAGGCCTTTTTTGAAAGTCGACGATGTTGACGTGCAGAGTTGACTGGCATTCTAAGCTCTGTTGATGTTTGCTGTTGCAATTGGCTTCGTGCATGACTTGTTTTTCCTGAATCCAACCTGTTGCGAATTGAGTCTTCCATGCAGGACATGTTTTGGTCTTTCCAGGATGATGTGACTGCATATTTTGCTGTCTGTGGACAGGAGCAAGACTCCAGGCGAGTTGTCGTCGCATAGGCTTTGACAGTTTGACAAGTCAGTGATGCGAGCATGTCCGCTGAAGTCACTGTATCCGTTTTCAGTACTTCTGTGAGGCGGTGGGTTGGAGGGGATTTGATGTGGTCATTGTGCTTCAGCGACTGGCTTTTAGTAACTTCATGGCCTTCAAGGCTTCTGTTTCTGCTAGAGTGTTGATGTTCGCTGGTGGTTTTCTGCGTCTGCTGGTGGTGTTTGTGGGAGAGTAGGTGGTGGTCAATTCAAGATTCGTTCGAAGTGATCGGTGGAGCGTTCGCTCTGTTCCACCTCATTCGTAATTGGCTTTCCATGACTACCTTTCACTGGCTTCATCTGAGTTGATCTCTTACTGGTCAGCGATTGAAACGATGGTGCCTAGGAAAGCGAGAGAGATGACTTCCTTCAGATTTCTCCCATTGGTGGTGATTGTTGTTTTCTGTGGGTAGTCATGTGTCCTTATCACATCTGTCGTCTCTACGTTCACCTGAAGTGCCGTCTTCACTGCCTCTTATAGCAGTTTGCTGGCTTTCTCTTGTACATCCTTGAGTTTGTGCGACACGAGACGTGAGTCATCCACGAAATCCAGATCACCCAGAGTGGTTTTGTCAGTGCAGCGTTTGCCCATCTTCTCAGTCCTCACTGCCAGCCGCATGATTCAGTCCAGCACAATCGGCAGGATCATAGGTCATAATAGACAGCCATATATTATTCTCGTCTTCACTGCAAACGCTTCAGTGAGCTTTCCGTTGCGAATTACTCGCAATATCGCATCATCATATCGGTGTTGAATGAGCTTGATAAGTGTTTTCGGCACTGCAGACTGTAGGCTTGAAACAGTTTCCGAGTTACTTCACGCTCTGAGCTGTCGAAGGCCTTTTTTGAAAGTCGACGATGTTGACGTGCAGAGTTGACTGGCATTCTAAGCTCTGTTGATGTTTGCTGTTGCAATTGGCTTCGTGCATGACTTGTTTTTCCTGAATCCAACCTGTTGCGAATTGAGTCTTCCATGCAGGACATGTTTTGGTCTTTCCAGGATGATGTGACTGCATATTTTGCTGTCTGTGGACAGGAGCAAGACTCCAGGCGAGTTGTCGTCGCATAGGCTTTGACAGTTTGACAAGTCAGTGATGCGAGCATGTCCGCTGAAGTCACTGTATCCGTTTTCAGTACTTCTGTGAGGCGGTGGGTTGGAGGGGATTTGATGTGGTCATTGTGCTTCAGCGACTGGCTTTTAGTAACTTCATGGCCTTCAAGGCTTCTGTTTCTGCTAGAGTGTTGATGTTCGCTGGTGGTTTTCTGCGTCTGCTGGTGGTGTTTGTGGGAGAGTAGGTGGTGGTCAATTCAAGATTCGTTCGAAGTGATCGGTGGAGCGTTCGCTCTGTTCCACCTCATTCGTAATTGGCTTTCCATGACTACCTTTCACTGGCTTCATCTGAGTTGATCTCTTACTGGTCAGCGATTGAAACGATGGTGCCTAGGAAAGCGAGAGAGATGACTTCCTTCAGATTTCTCCCATTGGTGGTGATTGTTGTTTTCTGTGGGTAGTCATGTGTCCTTATCACATCTGTCGTCTCTACGTTCACCTGAAGTGCCGTCTTCACTGCCTCTTATAGCAGTTTGCTGGCTTTCTCTTGTACATCCTTGAGTTTGTGCGACACGAGACGTGAGTCATCCACGAAATCCAGATCACCCAGAGTGGTTTTGTCAGTGCAGCGTTTGCCCATCTTCTCAGTCCTCACTGCCAGCCGCATGATTCAGTCCAGCACAATCGGCAGGATCATAGGTCATAATAGACAGCCATATATTATTCTCGTCTTCACTGCAAACGCTTCAGTGAGCTTTCCGTTGCGAATTACTCGCAATATCGCATCATCATATCGGTGTTGAATGAGCTTGATAAGTGTTTTCGGCACTGCAGACTGTAGGCTTGAAACAGTTTCCGAGTTACTTCACGCTCTGAGCTGTCGAAGGCCTTTTTTGAAAGTCGACGATGTTGACGTGCAGAGTTGACTGGCATTCTAAGCTCTGTTGATGTTTGCTGTTGCAATTGGCTTCGTGCATGACTTGTTTTTCCTGAATCCAACCTGTTGCGAATTGAGTCTTCCATGCAGGACATGTTTTGGTCTTTCCAGGATGATGTGACTGCATATTTTGCTGTCTGTGGACAGGAGCAAGACTCCAGGCGAGTTGTGTAATTACTTTATATTATATACACAATTTGCAAATAATTGCTTATTTGCATTTTAACAGTCCAATGAACTTTGATGTTTTAATCTGATTCAACTATCTGATTTGTGTCAAGCCGAGTAAACTGTCTAATTGCTTAGCCCGAAATAAGAGAAGCAACTATTCGGTGTTTAGATCACCTCGATCTGATCAGTAAGCACTACTGATTGATGTGGATGGCATACAACTACTCATCTTAATCATTCAGTAGTATGTAGACTTATACATAATTCCTTCTGTTTCCAACATTTTTAAACTAAATTTGGAAATGTCATATGCTTTTGAAACAACCCGTGTTCACATATCACTTGTGTAGAAAAGAGACAGGTTTAATCAACTTTCATATGGAAACTGGGAAATATATCTAAATTGCATTTCGTGTCTGATGGCTAGAGCAATAAACTTTGAAAAATTTATTAACCGCCAACTTTCGAAATGATCCCACTACCATCTGAAATTTACTGAAAGATTCTCAAAGTGAGCAGAAGTTGAGCAACGAAAATTTTGGAAATATGAGTGAAGTTATATGTAACACGATGCAGAATGGTAGTGACTGGGTATGTCACAAAGTATTTAATTATAGGTATTTGCAATTTATTCAGTCTAAAATAGTCTGGAAAGTTATTGATAAGAATTGAAGTTTTTACAGCAATGTGGCGATGCCAGATGCCAAGGGATTTATAACGGAAAAACCAGCTATGCTTTTGAAGTGAAGACTGTGGTGAGACAAGGCTGTTTACTGTCACCGATGATCTTCTTGATTGTAATGAAACGTATCATTCAGCTGGCTGTGGGAAGCGAGGAGATATGAATACATTTGAGGGATAACAAGACTCTAGACGACCTGAACTGTGCGGATGATTTATGTCTAATGTTACATAAATTCGAAGTCCTGCAAGGCGAAAACCAACAAGTTGGCAGCAGAATCATAGAAAGTAAGACATCAAGTCAACATAGAGAAGAAAAAGGTGATGAAGATAACTAGCCAACAACAATGAGCACCAATCAGTATTACAGGGAGAAATTCAAAAAAGGTCTCCTCCCCTGTATATATATGTATATATATATATATCCTATTTTCCTCATTCTAAAGTCCATGAGTAGCTTGCCAGTTAGTACACATGCGTTAAAACTCAAAAAATTGAGGTGAGCCTACTGAATAACTGATTCAACCCACTTACCACAACTATCGTTTAAAGGCTATTAACTAATGAAACTACCAAATATGGTGCTGTAATGTTTGAGCAAGTTTATTTGCACTGATAAGTGTTATAAACTTTCCTTCCCTATTATCAGTCACCAGCTTAATAATTCACTTAATGCATTGGCAGTTTGGGATATCTGCTGATTCGTGATAACTCATCTCTCTAGGTGCATTGATCTATGAAAGAAATTGCTACTGATGTCAGTTTTCTGAAAACCTTTAAGTTCATTGCATGTTTGCATTTACTTATGTTTGGTTGTGTAGGTTTCTGCTTTGTTATAATTAAGTAGTCAATACCAGTGTTATGGAAAAACTATATGCAGGATTTGTGATAGATAGGCACTCTAGAGTGACAAACTTCTTCATGGAAACTTGTCTGTCCTTCAGGAAAACATGGTTTAACTAGTAGACCATTAGAATTACAATAAATATTCGTTTCTTCACTCCATTGGTGAATGATTATCCTATGACTTTAATGATTACTGTCACTTGTTTATCGACTAAGTGTTGTTTCTTCAAGTGACAGTTTGAAGGGAGTTACGCGAACTCCACTAATCTATCTGTTCTGCTATTACTAATTAACAGTTTGTATTTGATTGGAATCAATTCAGTTTAAGCCTACAGATTTTGGGTCCCACCTTTAAGACTTCATAGTTTAAGGGTGTATTCAGTGGTTTATACTTCCGTTTGACAGAGAAGATTTACTTTATCCACCCTAATGTTCATTTGTTATTCCATTTATCTTAAAATCACTAAGAGGGACATAGTTAATAGCCAGCTCCCCTTATAACCAATTCTGAAGTTATAATAATAATAATAATAATAATAATAATAATAATAATAATAATAATAATAATAATAATAATAATAATAATTGTACATATAATGAACACATTATTAGTTTAAGTATTGTCAATTAACATTAGTGAAAAATATTCGCTTCTAATATCAGCTTGTTACATACCATCAATTCACATGAATTGAAGTACTCTGTAGCTTTGTGAAACTTATTTATGGCCACAAATTGGACACATTCTACTAGGATGAAAAGTACATTTGTATTTTTGCATAGGACAAAACTAGTTTTAAGACTCCAGGTTTCCATAAATCTTAAAAATAGTAATTTTTCAAAATGTGTCTAAAACACACACGAAATGCATTCATCATTGCTTACTGTATGTACTAAGGTCTAGTATTTTAAAAGTAAAATAAATATATATACATATGTTATACAAAATGTAATCACCAACTGCTGTTTTTCCAAGAATCAGTGAGCACTTTTATCCTAAGTTCAAGGCAGCTTTATAAAATAATCACGTATCACATTCAGCATAAACTGATGGTAGAAAGAAATTAGAAAAACGACTGATTTTTACAATTGTGCTGAAATTACTATTGAACTACTTTGTACTGTTGGATATCATCACCACTATCTTGTATGCTTAAATAAGAAAGTGGAAGTGCATCAAGTGATGTTTTCATGTGATAACACTATTGTATAGCGATTTAGTTTAAGGTTATTGAACTGCATTTTGATTGGTTGAAATATAGCGGTTAAAAATCTTTCATATGTATGTGTTATACTATACTAATAAACTGGGTTCAGTATTCAGAGTTATCTTACCCGGCAGGATATATACTACATTTGCACATAAACACTGTGACACCAATGTTGTGGAATAAATTTGTTCGCCTTCAATACAACCGATTCTGTTATAATCTTCTTCACAGTTTTTATCGTCAGCCTGATTTATTTAGGATTAAACCGGCAATAACATCGTACAACGTAAGAGTACGCTGCGTGTGTAGTGGATCGAATAGCATTCAAAATGGCATAGATACACAACCTGAAGGTCCTGATGCAGATTTTATTCACAGACATATAGGATCTTCTAAGGAGGATATTGATCACATGCTCCAAGTTTGCGGCTTTAATGTAAGTGCTTGCATTTGCCTGCGTAAGCTACACATTATTAAATTTCTTATAGTCTGTCGGCAGTCATAGTAACTGGATGACAGGGCTTGTTTTTTAGTTGTTTTTTTACCTGACAATACAAGTGCACTGTCTGTCTAATTACCTGCATAACTTTACTTCGATTTGTCACAGGTATTTAAGACTTTATTAAAAACCAGCCTCTGTTGTGTAGAAATAATGGTAAATTTGTATTGAAGGTGATTCTACGTTTGATGTTGAGACGTAGATGTGCATTGCACAATTAACTGATGCAGCGAAACAAAAAGTGTTTTCAATCATACAAAAATAAGTGTCCTCCCCATTCATTTCACCATCCTGTTAAGCGGTGCTTAACCACATGATTAGTCCACGAACAAGTTTGACAGTTGTTTTTATGAGAATTACCTCATTTCCGGTTTACTAACTATGATGTTTGCAATATCTTTTAGTAAATTTTGGTGTTTCATGAATTCCCTGATATTTCTACCAGGCGAAATACAAGTTCTAGACATCCATCAGTGAATTAATTGTCCTCAATTTTCTGATAATTATTTATTCACTAAGTATTGATAAAAACTGCTAACAGACTTACTGAATGAATCACCAGTTGTCCTAGACATTAACTTAGCCCTCTTCAACCTGTGACTCTCATGGATTACTTAGCACACTACACGATAAATAGACATTAGTAAAAGTAGCGCACACTACACTAATACTGCTACCCTTACAGTAACAGTGACAACTATTCATACTCTTTATGGTTGACACCTGAAACAGTTCATGATTCATTCGACAACCAGTAACAGATTTTATTATTAGCTAATAAGGTACGGATAAGTGTCTAAACTTAGTTAACCTTTTATTGAGGTCCATTAGGTTATAACTCTAATATTTATAAATGGCGCATTAATATTTAGAAGAAAAAGGATCTATGTCATTAGATTCTAGCAATCAAATGCCAATCACAGTGCACTTTGATAACAAGTATTCCGGCTGGATAGTCACACTGCATACGCATAGGTGACCAGTGACAGTGACCACATCTCTAAAGTAAAGATTCTTAATGCATTACTGAGTGACTCAAGTTTGCGTCATCAAGTCCTTTTGAGTGGGCAGACAAGCCTTGATATAGAATGCCAAAAATGATGAAAATAAAAGTATGGGGCTCCTTATATATCACACACTGCCGCCTAGCATCCCAATCGCAAAGATTAAAAGATTTCCGATTTGAACTTTCCTGAAAGAACTAGAAAACTACTTGTGTTTTCATTTAGTTGAGTTAATTAGAGATATCTTTCGAAACACTGATAAGTGATCAGTGCCAATCGGGTAATTAAAGTGAAGAATGATTAGGAAACAAAAATCAAGGCTTACTGAACCTCAGAGTTTCATTCTATGCACAAGGAAAGACATGTGAGTGACAGGCATTTATATCTGCTGAAAAGGCAGTTACCCTTGTTTCAGTCAGATCGTTTGTTTGTTGATCATAGTGGTTCAGAGTTGCAGCATAATGTGAATAAGATAGTTCACTTTGAATTATCTTTCAGAGATTGCTAATATATTTATTCTGCACCACTATCTACAATCATGGATCCACAAGCTTAACCTGGTACACAGAGAATCAGATGAAGAGTAAATATTATCTGAAGTTCATCAGACGGGAATCACCAAAAACTCTCTGATGAACTTGGTCGGTAGTTTTTTTCAGCGGTCTTCTAAGTCTGTGAACCTGATTCTGCCTTCCTGATTTTCCAACACTAAAAGAACGCGAAATTAATATTTTGAAGCAGTTTACAACTACTCCCTTTCCAATCAACGGTTAGTTCATACTGCTGGATTATATGTACACAGATAAAAAGTAAGTGGGATTTAGTTGTGTAGTGCATCGGTGCTTTAGTTTCCCCTTTGGTTTTTTTTACTGTCTGGTAGTATATGTCAAAGTATATCTACAATAAGTGTGCTGCAAACTTACTTTTATTCAATAATAAATAATTTTTAAGACATCACATAGTGTTTAAAGTGGCATAAACTAGTAGACTTACTTTTTTGAATGGCGCAAAAGTATTCTGTTGCAGATGCAGTAGTTAAAAGAGTTTTAAGGATAAACATTTATCTCAGTAACTTAGTTAACCGTTCAATCAAGCCACATCATTTGAAATGGGGGGAGGGAGACATGTTTTACTCACACAGAACTGTCGCCTTCACCATAGAGCAATGTTAATTCAAATAGGATTTGACTAATAAAGAGTTACAGGCAGTTAGACAGAAAAATGGTATCGACATCTATGAAGTCTTTAATTATTGCTCTGAAACACAAAAGGAGGTGTTAGAGATGCTAAGATTGGAGAATGTCAGCGACACACTTCTAAGTCGGTCATTTCTTGTAATTACTGAGATTCTGAAAATCTTAGCTAATCTTCATGCAATTGTTCTTCTTCCCTTGTACCTTTGTTCAATACATTTCTTTTCCCTGCTGTTCTGTACAACTTTCCAAGGTGTGATTACCTGGGAAATCACTTATTAAATCGCAAACATCTGTGATACAAAATACAGTAATTCTTTTTGTAATTTGTTACCTTTAGTGAAAGTAACAAACGTCAGTGCTGATAAACGATATATGTTGAGATTAAGGTAGGCAGATATAGAATCTACACTGAAATGCAAAGACTTGTCGCCAAATTACATTCACCCCGTGTGTGAATTTTCGAGTACTCGTTAGTCTAGTCAATACAGACTGAATCACTCTTAATCGGAAAAAGACATAATAAAGAGAAACTTAAAAAATTACAGAACCATGAATTTAGTACTTAAGTAGTGAAATAGTTCCCGCATGTAAATTTCGTTCACTGGTAGAAACTGAACACTTGATATTAGATGTTAGCTACTTTAATTCACATAAATGCAAACTACTTTAAACCATCTACCTGTTACACAGTACGAACGTGTTAGCAAATTAAGGTGAACTTTATTTGACAAACTATAAATCAGCTGACTGAACTGTTTCGACTGAATGATTTTTCATCACTGAACTCATTTAAATACGCTTATCAGAAAAAGTGAGGCTATGGCTATAAAAACAGATTAGTAGTGCATTTTACCTGGAATCTTCAAGATTATAATACGATACGTCATTAGAGGAGAGTTGATAAAAAATTTATTTTTTATAAAATACTCCTATCAGGAAGAATGATTAACATCTAGCTAAGTTTAACTATGGATTTCTTCTTAAAATTAGTGTATAAATATTTTAAAACAAAGTTTAAATCAAAGTACCCACTACAGTCTTACAGGAGGTCAATCGCGAGCCCGAATAGCTCAGTGGTAACGTCTCTGACTGCAGCACTGGGTGACGCGGGTTCGAATCTCACAAGGGATATGAGTTCCTTCAAGGATGCAGATACGCCTTGCTGACTGGTGAGTGACAAGTAGCACGCAACCTAGGTCCAAGGCTTCCTGCCGATTGCCTTCAACCATCTAATATCATCAATTCGAACTGGTTTTAGACGCGAATCAAACAAGCCTAGATTTTAATCATCTATCTGTCGGTTTTATCACCGGAGTTACGTGAATTGTATGGTTGAAGAATAAGAACAGTATAACTACTGCATTTTCCAGTCAAAAGGCTATTTCTTCCTTACACCACAATTTCTTTTGGAAACCAAAAATATACACGTCATACATAATATGTGATCTACCTGGTACCATCAATAGCATTCAAGAAAGCTGTGAAGATAAGGGGCACTATATGCTGCTGGTTGATTGATATTACAAGCTGAAGACCACCCATGTCAATCAGTAGTGCTTGCCAACCAGATGGAATTGATATAGGCATTGAAGGGCCAGTTTACTCTTATGAGACTAAGGTCATCCATCAGCGGTGTACTCGGCTAGACTCAGTTCAGATGACCGAATCAGTTAAAAACATCCAGTTCTCTCTAGTAGCTGGTCTAACCGGGTACGCTACTGATGAGCTTGGCCGCAAACTGGCGAAACGGCCGTCTGGTGTTTATACCAACTTCTGTTTGTCTAGCAAGCACTACTCTTCGTTAAGAGTAGTTTCCAACTACTCAAATCAACCAATCAGTAGTATGTATCATCTCTTTGTTTTTTTTCTATGTCACGCTTACATTTGTTAACTTCTTATTTGTCAAAAATTCTAGGGGATGTTTTTATGACGATGAATTTCATTCGCATATCTCTGAGTTGGTTTAGCTTATTCAGACGTCTTCAATTTACCAAATATACAAAAATTGGATTTTAGAGACAAAGTTCATTTAACTTATCGGGTTACCTTGGTTTGGTGGTCAACCTAGAAGAGATAAAAAAGATTCATTCGGCTTTTACTATATTGCCTTATTCTTCGTTTAGCTGGAATATTTATTTGCTCATTATGAGTTAATTGCAGTACTCATCAGTGTTATCTGTCTTAGTCCGACTATGAAACGTATCCACAGCCATCAGTGTCCTGAAAACTGTGCCAGTGGTGAGTGGAATGATGATCTGAACAATGTGGTATCGACTGTGGAAATTACCATATGCCAACTCCATTCTTACTGAGTCAGTAAACATGGCAATAGCTTATAACTAGTCTTAGAGTATCCACACAACGATGCGATACGAATCAGTCGTGTCGCTGACTGTTGGTTTAAACCTTACAAGGGAATAGTGAAGATCTTATCTTAAGTAACAAAACGCGTTACAGAAATGTCACACTGCTTTTATTATCATCTTCTTTGAAGCAGTTTTGCGACAGTATACTTCTGATTTCTCCGTCTCTTTTACTGTGACCTAATGAAAGTGATTATATAAGGTGTGGTAACTCGAATAGCCGTCAGAGTTACTTTATTATCTGTATAAAGAATGTCCGCACATCTTTCTCACTGATGTTAAACTGATTTGGTGGTGCGAGCTAAGCGTTTACGGATTATATTCACGTTAGTGAGAAAATCATGTACGTGTTGTTATACACAGTTTAGTCAATATATTAAGTGATTTCCAGGTATAAAATACACCTCTAGTTAAAAATAGACTTTCACTGCGGTCTAAGTGAAGAAATATAATATGCAGTTGATCCTTTTTCTAAGTAAACAGTGAAGGGTTAACTTAGTGTCATACTCAGGGAAGTCGTTCGTGCAGTATGTCGTAATTCAAAAAGTTACCAATATATACACGACTTTAATCAACTTTAGCTACAGATTCTTAAAAAACACACTGATTAGTAATCAATTTTTTTGTTTGGTCATTAGCGTTGATTAAGCCAAGTAGTTAATCTCTGACCATGTTTGGACGGTTGAAGTCAGTATATACTGAGCCTAAACTACACGCTTGTTGGTATTTATCGACATGCTTAATCTGCATTATTGAGTAAACAAATGCTGTCCGATCGGCTCAAACTGTATCAACTAGTGGTTCAGTGTTGCAGACGGATATATTAGTGCAAAACTATTTAAACTGTGATTAATCGCAAAAAATGTAGATGATGTACTTTGAAAAATCATTTGAGAGTAATATGAGTCACTGTATTTAGTACTACTCACTGAGGAGATTTTTGGAGAGAATTTGACACACACTACCTAAAGTAATCACCAGGTAATAGTGTAAATGTTCAGGATTGATGCTTGCAAACCACCGTCAAGATGAAGTATGACCAATGACAGCTAAATAGATGTATCGTATTTTAATCTCGTGCGGATATATGAAAAACACTACTGATATTCATTTCACTTTTAATGCGTCCTTTTCGTTTGCTGAGATATATTCCATTAGTTTTCTACCTTAACCGATTCACCACAGTAACGTAGCAGCTTCAGTGTAAGCCTGCTGTGAACGTCAAAGTTATTTGTGCATTTTATATAAAATACCTGTTTTGTCTTGATTTTCTCGGGATACATCATGTTTTAACCATTACTTTACCTGCAAATTTTCCTTTCTCCATCCAGAAAATGGAGGACTTTATAAGCAAAGTGATACCAGAGAGCATTTTGATGAAAAACGAATTGAAATTGGAAAAGGAAATTAGTAAGTAATGGAAAACTGTTTCATAATTTATTTTATTACTTTAGAACACATACTGCCATATCCACGGCAAATAAGTAGACACATTCACCTAGGAATATTGTGTTTAACATGTCAGAGCGAAATGTCCTACTAAAGTACTTATTGGAAATATAAATACTGGTGTCAGAGACTGTAGAAAGTAATAGGATAGAAAAAGGAATAGATGAAGAGAATGGTAACATTTGACACAATATTTCAATGCTCCGTAGAAGACTAGTTATAGATGCACAACCAATAATGCGATTGACTTCAAACTATATCACATATTATTATTATTCCCTTGAGTCCCGGCTGGAACATATGGCTTCAGCAACACATCTCCACTTTGTTCTACTCTCTGTTGTTCTCTTCAACTAGGTCTATGATTGCCTATAACCTATCATCTCCTCCTCCCCACACTATCTCCACCATTTCACTCTAGGACGACCCACTCTTCGTTTCCCAGTCGGATTCCACTTAAGCGACGGCCTGCACTGCGCACCATGTCATTCGACGGCCTCCTCAACGTGTGTCCGATAAGTTCATCTCCATTTTCTTCTGCATATTTGTCGAACAATCGGCTCTCGCCTGTCGGTTTGTTCCCAGCCAGAGTTTCTTGTTGCTAGTTCTTTCTGGCCAGTTGATCTTCAGTATGGAGCCAGCCAGCAAAGATGGTAGCTGTTGACAAACGTCTGCAATCTGTTACTTTTCGTGACGTTCAGTTCGAGTTTCTGACCCGTGTAGAATAATTGACTGACTTCACTGACATTTGTGTTGAAATTCCGAATCTTGTTCTTTGCGCTGAAATAATGCAGATGAAGCCGTATCTCGTCTTTCTGATTCTAACTGGTTAGCTTTGACATCTTCGTCTGTTATGACTGCCTGTGGTCGAAATCGTGTTTCCTAGCTGGATAAGTGAAGGAAGCAACCTCTGTCAAATTTCTCCCGTTGATGGGGATTGGAGTTGGTTGTTGTAGTTGACCATATATTTTGATGATTAGTAAAATCTGAATAATTCTGCTGAAGAAGCTGCGGCTTACACAACGAAACGTTCGGAAAAATCTTGTTTTGATTTTTTCTTAAGCACATTGGGATTATTTTAAATAATTTATAATGGTTGTTGCTGTTGATTAGTTATCGTCATCCCTCCCGTCGTCTTTGTGTTCACCTGGAGTCTTGTTTTCGCTGCCAGTCTCTTCAGCCAGTTTGTTGTTTTCAGCCTGTCAGTCTTCATGTGGTATTAGACATATATCATCTGCAGAATTGAGATACTCTAGAGTCTTTTTATCGGTCCAGCTTGTTCCTGTCTTCCCACTCCCAACGCGCAATCTCACACATAATACAGTTCACCATAATTAGGAATATCACTGGTTGATAAAAGACAGCCTTCTATTACTCCTGTCTTCACTTGAAAGGCACCAATGAGTTTTCCGTTGTGAATCTCTTGGCATTGTCATATACCCCGCTACTGGATGAAGTTGATAAAGGCTTGGACATTTGATAAGACACAGCATAAAATAGTACATCATCCTTTCTCATGAATCGTGGTAATTATCAAGTGATAGAGTTACTATGTTAATCTATCATTTCTCACACATGTTGTAATTTAGTGTGTGATCAGTTCATCTTGATCTTTGTCGGATCGCCAACCAATGAGAATAGCTATTTCCATTCTCACGGCTGTGAGCCCACTTTATTATGGTAAAGAAAATATATAAACACCGTGTTTTGTTTCTTAAACTATAAAGTATGATGTAGTATAGTAACCATACAATATCTTACAGTCACAGGCCAGCCTTTGTCTTTTGATATTTGTGTGGCTCAGTGAATCGGAAGGTACAACGGAAAAATAGGGATATTAGCGTACCAGTCGAGTTCATTGCCGTTATAGTAGTTAGCGTGCGCAGACATAACAAAGTAGCAACGGAATTCGGATCAGATCAGTTCTGTTATAACAGCATTGCACGCTAAACTGTTGAAGTAGTTTCCAAAAGAATTCTCGGTCAACGATATGAAAGGCCCTTTCAAAATCGATGAAGCCGACGTACAAGTTTGTATTATTATTATTGTCCCCTTGGGTTCCTAGTGGAACATACGGCTTCAACTGCACGCCTCCACTTGCTTCTGTCTTGTGCTGTACTTTTCACTTGCATCCATGTTAATCCATACTGTTTCAGTTCCTCTTCACACGACCTCCTCCATGTCACCCTTGGACGTCCCACTCGCCGCTTCCCTTTCGGGTTCCACTCGAGGGCCTGTCGCGCGATGTCACCTAGCGGCCTCCTTAGCGAGTGTCCAACCAATCTCCACTTTCTCCTGCATATTTGTTGGGCGATTGGTTCCTGTTTTGTTTGTTCCCATAATTTCTTGTTTGTGATTCTTTCCGGCCGGCCATCTGATCTTCAGTATAGAACGAAGACAGTTGTTGATAAAGGTCTGCAGCCTGTTGAAAACATTCTTGGTGACCCGCCAAGTTTCTGATCCGTACAGCAAAACTGACTTCACGTTTGTATTGAAAACCCGAATTTTGTTGTTGATGCTGAGTGACGAAGATTTCCAGATTGGTTTCAGGTCGATGAATGTGTTTCTCGCCTTCCCGATTCTCGATTTGACATCCTCGTCCGTTCCTCCTGTGGTTGAGACAATGCTCCCTAGATAAGTGAATGAAGTAACCTCTTTCAAATCCTTCCCTTTGATGGTGATTAGCGCTGGATGTTGCTGCTGCTGTTGTTGTTGGCTGGTTATTTTCATAACCTCCGTCTTGTCTATGTTCGCCTGGAGTCCTGTCTTTGCTGCTTCTTCGACCAGTTTGTCGGTTTGTAAGACTTGTAAATCTCCGATTTTGTGTGACATCAGACATAAGTCATCCGCGAAATCCAGGTCTTCTAGGTTCTTCACGTCGGTCCAGGATATCCCTGTCTTCTCGTTTCCCATTGTCTGACGCATAATCCAGTCCACCTCAATTAGGAATATCATTGGTGATAATAAGCACCCTTGTCTGACTCCTGTGTTTACTCGAAACGCCTCACTGAGTTTTCCATTGTGGATCACTCGACATGTGCCATTGTTGTACAGCTGTTGAATAAGGTTGATGAATATTTGGGGTACGCTGTAGTACTTGAGTAGTTTCCAAATTACTTCGCGGTCAACGCTGCGCTGTCGAAGGCCTTCTCAAAGTCTATGAAGGAAGTTGAGGTAGAGGTTTGATTGCCATTCCATGCTTTGTTCTGTGATGATGGTGCGTAGAGTTGCAATTTGGTCAGAACATGATTTGCCTTTCCTGAATCCAGCTTGTTCTGGTCGGAATTCTGCATCTAGTGCGTCCTTTATTCTCTCCAGAATGATGCGACTCAGAATTTCACTTGGCATCGGCAGGAGCATGATTCCTCGCCAGTTCTTGCAGAGTCCTAAGTCGCCTTTCTTTGGTAGTTTCACAAGGTAGCCTTTCTTCCAGTCAGTAGGCACCTTTCCCTCCTTCCAGATCTTTTGCAATAATGGGGTCAGCATGTCTGCTGTCGTCTCTAGGTCAGCTTTCAGTGCTTCAGGCGGCATTCCATCTGGTCCAGCTGCTTCTCCAGCTTTCAGAAGCTTGATTGCATTCAAGACTTCAGCTTTCGTCGGAGGATTGGTGTCAACTTGCAGTTGTGTACGTGCTGTTGTTGGTATTTCTGGACGGGTTGCAGATGGTGGTTGTTTCAAGAGTCCTTTGAAGTGGTCCACCCATTGTTTAATCTGTCTTTCTTCTTTGGTAATTGGGTTCCCTTGGCTATCTTTTATAGGTTTCATTTGTGTTGATCTCTCCCCGGATAGAGACTTGGTTATCTGATATAATGTCCTCAGGTCCCTTTTGCCTGCTGCCTTCAGCTTCAGTGGCCAGATTGTCGTAGAATTGTCTTTTGTCCTTCCTAGCACAATTCTTCACCTTTTTGTCCAGTGCTGTGTAAGTTGAGCTCAGCTTCTCTTTCTCTCGTCCGTCTTTCCATTGAATCATTTTCTCTTTGACTGCCAGTTTATGCTTTGTTGGATGGTGATGTTTAGAGTTGAAATTTGATCAGCACATGATGTGCCTTTTCTGAACCTAGTTTGTTCTGGCTGGTGGAGTTCTGTATCCAGTGCATTTTTTATTCTCTCCAAGATGACGCGACTTGGCGTGTACAGGAGCATTATTCTACGCCAGCTCTGGCTGAGGCGTTAGTCGCCCTTTGGTAGATTGACAAAGTAGCCTTTCTTCTAATCGGTAGGCATCTTTCTCCCCTTCCAAACCTTCTTCAATAAGGGCGTGAGAACATCTGCTGCCGTTTCTGTGTCTGTTTTCAGTGCTTTCGGTTGGGGGAATTCCATCTGGTCCTGATGCCCTCCTGGATGACCTTCAGTATCTTGACTGCATTCAGAATTTCAGCTTTTGTTGGAGGAATGGTGTCCACTGGCAGGCAGTTCTGTAAGTGCTGTTGTTGTTGGTGGTGATATCTCTGGGTGAGTTGCCGTTGGTGGTCGATTCAAGAGTCCTTCAAAGTGATCAGCTCATTGTTTTATTTGACATTCCTCCTTGGTGACCAGGTTTTCATGAACATCTATTTTTTTCATTATCTGGGTTGATCTCTACCCGAATAGCGAGCAGCCTGGTTATCTGATATAGTGTCCTGAGGTCTGTTTTACCTGCAGCCTGCCTGTTCTGCTTCAGTTGTCACTGTGTCGTAGAATTGTTGTTTGTCTTTTTTAGTACTCTTCTTCACTTCTTTATTCAATGCAGTTTACGTTGAACTCAGCTTCTCCTTCTGTTGTCCATCTTTGCATTGAGTCTTCTCTTTCACCATCGTCCTCTCCCCTCTTCTATGAGCTTCCAGGTAACCGTTGAGAGTTATTCCTTGTCTTCTTTCTTCCTAGAACAGTTTTACATGTTTCCTTGGATATCTGCTTCAGAGAGTCCCAATGTTCTTTCACCTAGGTTTCCCCAGTGATACCACGCAGTGTATCCGACTTTGCTCTGATATATGCAGCGAAGGCATCCCTTGTAGTTTTGTCCTTCAGTTTCTGAATATTGAACTTGAGTTGTGGTCTGTCTCCATTTGTTTTGAGGGATTTCAGCTTCCCCTTGAAGGTTCCTCGCACTAGATGATGGTCTGAGCCCACATCTCCTCCCCCTCTCGACATTGTGTTCAGCAGACTGGTTGCGTCTCCACTTCCATCTGCAGCATTGAGATGAAATCTGTATGGTTTGTGGTATATAAATCAGGCGAAGTCCATGTTGCTTTGTGTATATCCGTGTGCTTGTACACTCTGCCTCCTATCCCTGAATCATTGAAAGCGCAGAAGCCTGTGAATTATTCTGCGTTCTCATTCATTTCTCCGAGCGAGAGCCTCTCGACCAATGATGAGTTAGTTCGCTTTCTGTACTGTCTGCTCCCAGTTTGACTGACATTCACATCGCCAATAGTGATTTTGATGTCACCATTTTGGAAGTTGTCCATTACTGTTTGTAGTTGTCTATAGAAATCTTCTTTCTTCTCTTGTTCCACATTGTTTGTAGCACTATGCGTAGCATTGGATAATTGTGACCTTCCTTCCTTCTGAGTTGAATATTGTTGTAATAATTCTGGATGAAATTGGTTCCCATTGCATTAGGGCTTTGGCTGCCAATGGTGACATCACTACAGCCACCCGTTGCCTCAGTGTGCTCGTTGTTGTCATCTGAATGAACATACAGGAGTAGATTACTGACTCTCCAGTTGACAATTTCGATAGTCCACATCCATTCCATCTGTTCTCGCAGATTCCTTCTATTCCATATCTGGTCATCTGTTTGACTACCTGGGCAGCCTTCCGAGCTTTCTTTCATTTCACGTATACTCCACATCCCCATTCTTATTCTTGCTTTCATCAAGAGAAGACACATTGGCTGACAGGCTTCCCGAAGGCTTTCACCATTCTGCTGTGTCATTTCACCTCTCAGAAATATGTTTGCTTTTTACTTCGTTGTTTTCTATTCTTAATATTTTTATTGTGCGTTGAAGTTTTACATACAGTCTTCAGACATCCAGTTTGATTTTTTTACACACATTCCTACAGAAGAGACTCTATTTATTAGCATATCTCAGGTTAATAATTAAAGACTTTCCTTTAGGACTGCTTGTCTTTAATTCAGATTAATTCTGTTGAAGATTACTTGGTATAGAAATGAAGGAGATAGTTAATTATGTACAATAAATACCATATATATGAATCAGTAATGTTTATACCACTGTAAGATTAAAGTATACAGAAGGCGACGGTATTAGAGAATCTGATGCACTCATATGCCTACAGTAGACAGTACGAATTAAACAGTTGATGTTCACGTTGGAATTTCGCCAACTACTACAAAATCATAACTGAATCGATGTCTGGGATTCGTAAAGTGATCGAATCAATCACGTACTTTCTCTCCGTGTTATATTAGAATGCTTATCAGTGTGGATCTTTCATAAAATAAACATCGACATTATGAAAGTAAATGTACCGAAACTGTTAGTGAAGGTGATTAGAATAATCTGAGTTTTGCTAAGTGTAATAGTTTAACTGAAAGATTTTCGATGTCAGCAAATAATGGTAAATAACTCGCACAACAAAACAAAAACAGAGTTAAGCAGAAATGAAATCATTCGACATGTCAAAAAGATATTAATGAACGTTGTTGCTTCAGGGAATGTAAATCAGAAGGGCTTTATGAGGGTATATGGTCTCAAAGGTCTTTCCTTCGTCTGACAGAGGCGAACACTGTTTTAATAACTTGAAATAGGGTCAGTTTTCAGAAGTGTGAATATTTGGAATGAAAACATGTCCTGATTTTCGAATTAAAAAACTATTCAGAGCAGCTTTACAAGACTCATTATTCATAATGAGTATTTAAGACGTGAATCCTCCCCCTACTTTCATAGCCATTTAGCAAATTTGAAACTCCTAAAATAAAGGAATTATAAAAGTTGACAAAGATTTGAATTCAAAAGAATATATATATTAATTGTGTAGCTCGAAAGAATTCCAATGAATCCACATAAGTAGGAAAATGATAAGCTTCAACATGTTAGAAGCAGAGAAGTAGAATCTGTTGTAATGTTTAAACGTAGAGTAGATATAATGTCAACATCGCAACCACTGCAAAAAGCTAAACTAAACGGAAAAGTAATCAAGTCCCCAGTTGATTACAGAAGGCTTTCTCAACCATGCTACCACCGTCAGATTTGTATTGGGTAAAATGAAAAGGGAGAAGAGTCGAACAAGTTATTTTAGCACAAAATAGTTCTTGACACGAATAATTTTACCAGTGTCCTGAATCCAGTGCTTGCCGCTTCATGTGTTTCCTCCACTGTATCAATAGAACAAATTTTGGCCAACTATTAAAAAAATAACTTAATTATTGTTTACTTTACCGTTATGCCGCTGCTATAAAGTTCATACAATTCTTGTAACTTGACTGGTATTTCTTACTTTTAAGGTGAAGCAGAGTTAATCAAAAAACTGCGTTTGATGATGAATAAGAATCATGTTTGGCGGTCGTATATTGGACAAGGATACTATGGTACTATTACACCTACTGTCATACAACGTAATATATTTGAAAATCCTGGCTGGTATGTCATTGTTCTTCAACCCTACCGTTTTAGCTAGTTATCCTACATAACGTAGACCTGACTTTGCTCTGCTCATTAAAATTTCCTTTCTAATTTAACAGCTTCATTCAAACAATCTTGAACCACGTATCTATAAAAAAAGAAGCCAAAGTGATCACATCTAGTAGTTTATTAGACTGACTTCCGACCACTGATGAAGAGTGTTCAAGAGGGTGACTAACAAAAAAATCAATTCCAAAATTTAGTCAATTAGTGTCATAGTACATGTTCAGCTTGTACAGTTGAATGATTCCTTAAAAGTGAATTTTGCAAATTCAAGCTATTGCCCAGACAAACTACGTCACGGTTACGCAGACAAGCAACTAACTAGCGTATACAGTAAAAATACTATACAACACTATACTGTGTAATAGTATAGTGTAAATCAAAACGAACCACGCAGTAAACTATTGCTCAACAAATTTGTCGAAGGAAATGGAGATGGATCGGACGCACACTCAGGAAACTCCTAGGTGGCATCACGCGCCAGACTCTCGAGTTGGACATCCGGTGTTGACACTGGGGAGATTGTGAGAAGAGAAGATGAAGGCTTATGGGGACTGCAGAGAACAGGAAAAAATGGACATGTACTGTTGAAGTCATATGTTTCTCTTGGAATCCAAGGGAATAATGATGATAATAATAAATCGGTTTTGTCATCTCACTGCGTACCACTGTGTAATCAAGGTGTGTACAAAGTTTGAACGAAAATTTTTATTTCTCACTTAGCGAATTAATAAAAAAAAATATTAGAAAGAAAAGGACAAGAAGTACAGCAGAGATCTCTTTTATTCGATTTCACTCTCAAAAGCTGTATATTCGCATTTATATGCATAAGTTTGCATAGATATAAACATATTTCCCACGATTTGAAAAAATGATAAACAAGGAACCCATAACTAGTTAAATTGACCTGTCGTTTTTGACAGTTGTTGTGCAAGTAAAGTTAGAGGTGGATTATGCCAGAATTTCCAAATGCTGACAAATACAATGTATACAATGCACACGAATCACCTTCATCTTTTGTTAGTATCATAACTGGTTGTAAATTATTCTGAGAATTCCATATAAAGGGAGAATTAACAAAGTGGTTTTGTAAATACCAGCAATAAGTACACCGATAGTGAATGCATCTTCTCTCGATCAGTGTTGCTCGTTGAAGTTTAGCGATATGCACGCTCAACCTCCATGTCCTGGTAACAGAGGTCAGTAGAGTTACAGATATGGTCGTTTACTGACATCACTTAGAAGACCACGGAGTACCGGAGAGCTGCTTCTTTTGGAACCCTTTAGCAGTATGCATCCACCAGGGTTTGAATTTACAACCTTCCAATTAGAAGTCATCGTCAACGCTGCAGTACGGATATTTATTTGTCCACTCGTGCGTGCATACAAGCAGAACTTCAATCAGTTGTAGGCTATATTAATTCTTGTTTTGCTGTGTTTATCTCACCTCTTATTCATACGAAACATTTACACTGACTCTTCTAGACACTAGTTTTCTCAGGCATAAATGTAAACTTTTGAAGAAAATTTAGGTTAACATCTTTTAGTAATTTTCATTAAGTCTTATATCACATACTTTTTCAAAAAATTATATAAATAAGGAATCAACATTACTTTTGTGTACTTTTTTTACAAATATATTACACCAAGGTGTAAAACTCGTGAATAGTTATAAGGAACCACCCATTCAGTATTAAGTATACTATCATAAGTACTCTGGAAATAAACTGTCTGCAGTTACCATTTGATTTATATAGCTAATATGATAAAAATGAAGTTATAAAATGAGATTACAACTTTGGAAAACAAATTAGGTTGATGAGCAAGTCGCTGTCTGTCAATATTTATCATTTTATTTAACAAACTTCTAGCTTTTTAAAGATGTCATTTCTACTTCTAAACGTATGCAGTTTTAAAGAAAGCTTCTCATGGTTAATATCATTTATCATATTACATAAAATCGAGCTTATGGATATATGGAATGTCACTCCCATTTATTTTCCGAGATTATTTTATTATTATTTTATTCCCTTACGTTTCCGGAGCAACATAGGGCTTCAAGATAGCGGCTTGAAGTTTCGGTGGCAGTGGTATTTATTTTTTACTAGATGGGGTTGCTAGCCTCACGCCCAACTTTTCCTCTTTACCAGTCTTATTACTGGCCTAGCGAGGTAAAAGAGTGAGTCGGCCGGGAATCGAACCCCAAACCGCCTGCATGGTTGGCAAGCATTTTACCGCTGTGCCACCGAGAGATGAAGCTTTTGACGTTTACTTGTACTCGCTTCGGGTTTACCTACTCATTTGTAATAAGTTTCTACTTTTTGGTGAACAAGACCAACCAAAAGTTATTTACAGTAGTTAACATTGAATTTATGTTGAACACCTTAAATACATTCGGAACAGTTGCATCTCTGTAAACAAATCACTGGCAATGTATGAGTTCTGCACCATTCAGAGGTGTTAGAAGCTTCTTAAAACAACCCAATGAAGCTATTTACTTCTACGCCCATAAAATCCATAACAGGAAAATTTAGTGCACAGCACATAATAGTACACATTATTTACTGTCGATATTTTGAAAACAACTTACAACTCATATCAAGGTGCTCACACAACTTTCTGACATTATTTACTGCGACTGTTCCGCTATGTTTAATTTCATTTGGAATTAAGAATCCAGTACATATGTCGGATATCGGCGTTGAGTAATTCCTGCTGCTCTTGCAAGATATGGACTCAGTGAAAAGTGATCTTATGGTCGACGTTTCCCTCCCATGGGGCGCATCAGCCCTTAGCAGTGTCTCCATATCGTATCTAATTGTATATTAGCTCATCCATCGAAGCAGTTTGATTTTTTTCTAAACTCGGACAACAGCTCAAGAAAATAATGAGTTTAACAGCACAACAGTAGGAAATTTATTCTTCTCCATTCTGATTCAACTGGAAATAAGAGTTTGTCGTTTGTTTCACTGATTTGACTAATTAAAAAGATTACCTTCACACAAATTTTAGATTAACTACTTCTCAGTAAAGTGACTTTCATTTAGTTTCACTTCTGTTTTAGGTATACGGCATATACACCCTACCAACCAGAAATAAGCCAGGGTCGATTAGAAGCACTGTTCAACTACCAGACAATGGTGTCTGATTTAACTGGGTTACCAAGAGCTAATGCATCACTGCTAGATGAAGGCACAGCAGCTGCAGAAGCCATGTGTCTAGCAGTCAGGTGAACTCAAAATTATTTGTGTATTTCGTAAACTTCCCATTTTTGAAGATGAAAATGAAATCCAATTGTAAACGTGGTAAACAAGGACAAATTATGTATAAAAACTGGATTAAAAAAATGGATTCTACCTTGTTGCAGAAGATTTCATAGCGACATATTAATCTGAAATAAAACTATTTTTATTAAGATAAACTGGGTAAGGAAGAATACGGAAGCGAAATGGAACTAAGTAGACATCAGTTTAAAGTGCGACTTATTCGATAGCAGTTTCTATCAAATATTTCAGGCTCATTAAGCTAAACATTATACTCTTCAAGAACTGAAGGTATTTGTGTCAAGCTAATTGTCAAAAACCCCTTGTTTCTTGAATTGAAAATAATGGACTATAGTGAATCTAATTAGCACTTTTGTTCCTAAGGTATGTAGTTATCTGAGTATGTCGTAACATGAAGAGCTGGTGGAATTACTGTCTGTATGAAACGCACGTCTACTTATTCAAAATAATTACCAATCGTTACACTACTAATTGAGAAATATGATATATTTAACGCATAGGAGGACTGCTTTGTTGCCTTCATTTATTCAATTCATGTAAGAAATTTGCTTTAATTTCTTCATTCCTTGCATAGTTATTTCTGAATCCATGTATCAATATAACTTTCACTATCGGACGGCTGCTGCTTTGTCCTAGCTAGGGATTCGGCAACAGCAGTCACCCATGCTCTCACCGCGGATTGAATCCAAGATATCTGGGTACGAGGAGAGCTGACTGACCATTCAGTATTGTTACGCTTTTTGATCAGCACCACTGGCAGAAAATAAATAACTTTTGTCGTACGAATGAGTGTTTGAAATCAAGAATATCTGATGAAATTTAGCGATTCGGATAAAGTGAGATATTACCTTCATTCATGCTGTCAGATAATGTGTATTCAAATAATTTCTGCATATTTTGTAATTCCGCTGAATGCATAGTGATAAACTCTAAAAATTACTCCGTAAGTTGCTTACTTTATTAAATCTTATTTCTTAAGAAATCTTTACTTGATTTACATTGACACAAGAAGGAGTGCATGCGTAGGTCTTTGGTTATCAATGACGTTGCTTCATTTCAACAGACATCTGATAAATACAGTACTATAATTATTATAACTAAAAGTAAAAACCTGCATCTCAGTGTCATTATGGCAAGCAAGAACAGTCAAATATTACTTCATCATTCAGAATGATTTCATATTATTGCCACAGTCTAAACACTTAGCTCTAAATTTGTTGTCTGTTTCCATGACAGCCACACTACATGAATCAAAATTGCTTCAGTCATTTGACCCTTTCTCCCTGAACAAGGTATATATATATATATATATATATATATATATAATTACTATGTTAATCCTCATTTCACCCTCAGTTATGTCACTTACTCTATAAATTTTTTCCAATTTCATTTAAACTAAAAACCTTAACCATAAATACTTTTTATAGGCATACAAAGAAGAGAAAGTTTCTGGTTGACACGAAATGTCATTTACAAACCATAGATGTCGTTACTTCTCGAGCAAAGTAAGTCTTCCCTTAAACATAAACAAGTGGAAGTGTATTGTATGAATGTACTAATACAACTTTTTAGATTACATGGTTAATCTCCATCTCTAATCCTAACTTTAAAAAAACACCTGACCGATTTCATGCGAAGTTCAATCTAATCTAGTCTGCATGCGTGATTCATAAGCTTTTTCTCCTTACAAGACTTAGATCAGTATAAGATGAGGTTGAAACAAATTTACTCTTAAGTGAACTGTACAATCATGAAACAGACTGGCGTAAGATGAGTTAGTTTCTACCGGAAATCTGATGAAAGGATATTGCTAATTAATAAATGGAAAATAACAAAAGAAGTTTATGCATAGATTACTCATCCATGTCTTCAATTAAGAAACCTTTTGAGACAGATATAGCCATCCAACGCAGTAGATTTATTCCAATTTTCACACTTCGCATTTCTTTAGATAATCCCTAGTATTGCCTTAATTGTTCAATCCCAAAATGTGCAATAATTGATTAGCGAATTTAGTTTACCCAACAGCAGATGATTTAAACTGCTTCACTGCAGAGGATTTTAACCTTCTTCTATTCAGTTTTGGAAGACATATGAGAGGAAAAGTCTATGTAACAATTAGTATTGGTGTAGTTGTGTTCTCTGGGCAGAAATTTTAGTTGCAAAACTTTCATTGTCCTTCTAGACAATATCTTCAACGCAGACTTCAACATGTAGTTCTGAGAACACAACTACACTAATATCATCCGCCTGAGATACAGAGCTTTACATATAGACAACTATTATATATATATATATGCATAGCAAGTGTTGTCTAAATTCTCTACAAAGTCTCAGATGTAACTAGTGTTGATATTGCTAACGATCAATTCATTTGTGTTATAGAGATATTGAAGTTGAAATTGACATGATATCTTTGGACAATATTGATCAAGTGAAAGAAAGAATTAACACTGGACAGTATGCCGGCTACTTACTACAATACCCAGATACAGAAGGGGACATCTGGGATAAGAAAATACGGCTAACTGCTGAATGGACAAAACTAAATAAGGTTAGAGTTTATTGTGACCTATAGTGTTTTGCGCCTATACATGAATGTCTTACTTAAAGCAAGGTGATTCAAGCTGATAAACAGGCTTCTAAGTGTAAATTGATGAAGACACCAAGTGATATACACATGCATATGTTTAATGTCGAAATTTAGCATTAGTTTTGAGTTTTTGTAGTTGTTTACGTTCAAGGTGGGTTTAGAAGCTGCTGGTGGGAATATTGAACAGAATTCTCGTACATTTCAACTTTTTCTTAGTCGAACTGAACCATATCAGATCACATATTATGCTAGGGTTGTGGGACAACAGGTCTTTCACTAGTTTCTTTATAGCCTTCACATTATTTCTAATTTCTACTAGATTTATTCTTCCAAACTCTCAACTGGCTACCCATATTTGCTGTAAATAAAATTGGTAACTTATGGATAACTGAATGCATCGTGCATCGGTAGCACAGCGGATAGGACTCTCGCCGACCATGCACATGGTCCGGGGTTCGATCCTCTGCCGACGCACACCTGATATCTATGGTCGGCCTGCAAACTTTGGGCTACCGATATCGCATGCTGAAAATTCCATACTTGTACCAAAAATACTGTGTGGTTTCAAGCTATATTCAAAAAACATGAATGCATTAGGTAAAATGTGGAAATGTAAGTTGTGACACAACTCGTATTTTTATCAGGTATAAAACTTCATTGAAATGTATTCCATTCCGCTTAAAGCCGATTGTAAGATTGGTCTTTAATACGTATTATTATCTAGGTGACTTTACAACCTCCCAGTGATCGAAACTTTCATGTATTTCTGTTAAAGATGATGCTTGTGAGTAACTTGAACTTACTTATCACTTGTGCAATCTGATCACCAAACAAAACGACGTGACATTTCTGAAACACCAGTATTTTGTTTAATTATTGGACATGTAAAGTTGGTACACGGAGATGTAAATCGCGTAGCAGTTTGCATTCATCAATATGGCTATCGTAGACACGAGAAAACTTATGCCATTTTTAACACTTGAACCTCTAGAGGATAAAGCTGAAACTAATGTGTTTTGTAATAGTTATTGATAACTGTAGTTTACGATTGCCAAATACCAATAAATCAGCGAACAACACAGTGTGGACAGAAATACAAAAAAATCGTATTATTCAGAATCATTTGTATTGTGTATTTGCAATAAATAGAAATAAACAGCAATGAACATTTAGACAATACACTAGTGGGAATAATTAATCAACATATATTTTCTATCTAAGAGTTGCTTTGTTTATCTTATTGAGGTTTATGTTTTTAATGTTCAGTTTATGTTTTTAATGACAATTATATGAAATTCGAACAATTTTAGACTCTACTTATCATGGCTACAGATCTGATGGCGCTAACACTTATTGAGTCGCCAGGTAGTTTAGGTGCTGATATAGCGATTGGAAATTCACAGCGATTTGGAGTACCTATGGGTTTTGGAGGACCGCATGCAGCATTTATTTCAGCAACTGAAGCACTCACTAGACTACTGCCGGGAAGAATAGTTGGACTTTCCAAGTGAGTAATTTCTTTTTAAATTATTTCCACTGTGATGTGGTCAATTTTGATATACAGAACTTATTGGTCAGACAACTAGGAGAAAGAAAAGTTGAGTTTTCTAATAAAACTTAAAGACTTTCGGGATAAAGTTTCGATTTTCACTATTTTCAATGTCACAGGTATATAAACCATATCTTGAAAGTTATTCAGCCCACCTTTCTATTAATCAACAGCTGGTGAATTATTAGTTTATCCGTTGAAGCTTCCACCTGACAAATTTTAAACAAGATGATATTACCTTCCCCACTATTCCTTATTCTCGATCCATATGTTCATTCTGTATAGTATCAAATAATTTTGTAAGTATAAAGTGATAGGAACCAGAATAAAATAGTATATCATCCTTTCTCACGAATCGTGTGATTTATCATGTGATGGAGTTACTATGTTAATCTATCATTTCTCACGCATATTGTGATTTTGTGTATGGTCAGTTCATCTTCTTTTGTCTCACCTTGTTCTTTGTCTGATCACCGACCAATCAGGATAGCTTTTTCCAACCAATAAGTTCTCACGATTGTTAGTCCACTTTATTATGCTTAAGAAAATGTATAAACACCATATTTTGTCTCTTAAACTGTATAGTATATTGCAGTATAGTACAATACAATATCCTACAGTCACATGCCAGCCTTTGTCTTTTGATATTTGCGTGGCTCAGTGAATCGGAAGGTGCAACGGATAAATAAGCATATTAGCGTACCAGTCGAGTTCATCGCTGTTATAGTAATTAACAGGCGCAGACATAACAAAGTAGCAACGGAATTAGGATCAGACATCAGAGATATATTCTCAAAACATGTAGGCTAGTCTGAGTGATATAACTTTTAATCAAATAAACAGTTGTTTCTTTTAAAGGGTGAATGAGACAGCAGGAAGAAAGCTGTAAGTCTTAAAACTACGTATCAGAGCACTTCAACAACAACTTTTAGAGAAAAGTTTCCTTAAAACTTTATTTAAAACAAACTAATTAAATATGTGCATCAGGGTAGCATGTCTTTTCTTGTTTGTGTTCTCCTTAAAAGCTGCTTGTGTTGCATTTTTACAGCACAGTGACTCTAAGTATTTCACTTTAATCATTGACCACTTTATTATCCCGTAAGTTTCTGCACTCATTAAGGGAAGATGCAGTAAGCAAGTCTCGCTGTACATCATATTGTGTAGACGTAAATCACATCCCGTTCGAATATCTGAACATTAGTAACAATATTTCATACACTTCTTCTCATGAATAAACTTGAACAAAGCAAAGATAACAAATATTTCGTGAATTCGTTTCAACTGGTTGTAACCTGAACAATATGAAAAATATATAAAGTTAGAAAAACATTTTTAACGTAATTTATTCGCAATAAAAGTCATTTCTGGAGTTTTATTTCACTCAAACTGCGTGGGGTTGAAAAGAATCCACGAAATAATAATAAAAGAAGAGCTGATGTGATCCTAGTACACATTTGTTGTTCCTGCTTTGTTCAGGTATCAATATCTTTGTCAAATAATGAATGTCCACAGTATTATGGGATAAGTGCATGGTATAATCAGTAATTAAGTGGCAAAATAAACAGTGTAATTTAAATGGATATTTAATTCGTTAACTAGCAGTGGAATCTAGGATGCACATTTCATCCTGTTTGGGACTCGTAAGTTGGATACACATACATTCCCGGGTTAATGATAGTGCCTCTAGTGAGGGTCGAACGCAGTACCTATAGTTTCAAACTCTAAAGCGTTATCCGCTAAACCACTTGGGCCGCGAGAGCCACCTCTTGTGCAACGGGTTTCAGTTACTATTCAGTTCACTTTGAACTTTCTCGCTGATGGGTATTTCCTGGAAAAAAAGTAGACGAAAGTTTAGTGTATTATGATGAATAAACACCCAAGACATGTTTCACTTCAGTTACCCGGAATACATATGTTATGTACCAAGCTAAGAGCCAGACTTATCGTATGAGATCTGATGATACTACGTAGTTGCCCGAGCTGAAGTAGGTTGAGCGGGAGTCGAACCCGTGACCTATTGACTAAAAACCGAGTGCTTAAGTTAATGAGCTAAACCTTCAGATTTATTTGAAAAGAAAAAACTAAATAAGTTCTCAACCTTTAGTCTAAAACCTTGAGACTGAAGATGTGGTGGGTCACTCAATACTGCTGCTAGCATAATAAATAAAACCCATTCGTAGAGAGGTGTATGTGTTGCTATCGTATACAGTAAGCAAAATGCACTGTCATAGTCTCTCTGCCACATCGATAAACGAAGTCTATGGATCATAAACAAACTAGTGCTTCAATCTACCTGTTTATACTAATGTATGAATGCCATATTACTTGAATAGAAAGCACGGTATCAATTGATTACACCACCAAACATTTATTGCGCTCTTCATTGCAATTCGTTCCTTTGTTTGTTCATACACTGGTTGAAGTATTCGGCAATTACGCGTAGCATTTTGTTCAAGTTTCATATGTACCGCTTTACTTGTCGATTTACGTCATAGTAAAGACAAAGCACAGTCAAAGCAACATGTAAAGGTATGAAAACGTTTGCTGCAGTGATGGTTTATCTTTAGATGACGGTCAATACACACCAAAATGCTTGATAAAGACAGTCTTTTTTGGAAAAATGGATAAAATAGATGTGAAGTGAAAAAAAAAACAACAACAGATTTATGATCCACGTTCAACAGCAACGGTGTATGTGCTGGGGTATACGTGATATTGACTATCATGTAATTTCAAAATCATTTAAACCTCCTAGCCTATCTCCGTTTCTCTGGAATCTGCAATTTAAAATAGTTTCTTTTAACAGTTTAGTCAGAGGTATGAATTAAACGAAGTTTTTTTCCTCCATTAATCACTTTTAATACTTATATAGTTGATTGAAAGTGGCAAAACACTTGTTGGTAAATTCTTAAACTTATGTCTTTCAAATCTAGGGATATGGAGGATCAGCCTGCGTATAGACTTGCCTTACAGACAAGAGAACAGCACATTCGTCGAGATAAAGCCACAAGTAATATCTGTACAGCTCAAGCACTGCTTGCAAACATGGCCGGTTTCTATGCTGTTTATCACGGTCCTAAAGGATTAAAACAAATCGCTTCGCGTATCCATAGAAACACTTTGCGTCTAGCATCAGCATTAGAAAATGCTGGATATAAGGTAAGCTAAGGTTTTTACCCGATAAATTAAAAAGACAAACATATATTTTAACCTTCTGCACTTAAATACACTTAGAAGTACGCCTAAGGAAATCTTTGTAAACGCCAGTGAATTTATCAGCAGAAAGTCTGGTTACTTGCCTATTTGTGACAGTTAACGATTTGAAAATGTGTTTAAAATTAAGATGCGCTGGGCCACTGTTTAGTGATGGTCCCTACTATTGCTCTGGATATCTGAAAATAATTAGGGTAAATTAGAATAAGAAGCAGACTGACACAGAACTAGTGGAGACTGGACGCGAATAAAACCTTCAACAGACTAGTATGTGCTGTAGTACTTACTTTGAAGTAATATTAGTTAAAGGTATCTGAAGTATACATAACCTTTAAAAAGCATTGAGTCATTAATGTGCGTAATATTGGAATCAAAGCCCTGAGTGGAAAGTGCAAAAGGACTGTAAACATTCAAATGGTGATACAGAAACTGACGGGCTGACTTTTCTTGCAAACCTTCAACCTTCAAAACTACACATTATTTCCCTTCAGCTTAAATATCGTGTTCACCTATTCTGTTTTCTGTTTATACTAAGCACAGATTGCCAATCAAACTGCAGTATTTGATACAATCAAGGTGTATCCAGCGTCTAAAACTAATAGCCTTCAATCCATACGAAAACGAGCAACGGAGAAAAGGATAAATCTTTTTTATTACCTAGATGGAGAAGCGGTGAGTTGATTTTAAACACAATTTTTAAGAACTAATGTCTAAACTAGTGGTAAGAGGTTTTTCTGTTCAGTAATTTTGTACTTCAGTGATTTGTAGAATCACACCAATTGAATGATATGCTCATGAATCCAGACAGAAGCCCCTGTTTCAGATTTGTCAATGATTTTGCTACTGCAGCTGCATAAGTATTTTTAGACGTATTTGAAAGTGACATCAGCAGGATACTCAGGCATTTCAGACTGGTTTATTGACCACATGGCTATGTATAACGACAGGAGTATGGTTTTAGGAGGTTTCCTGCAGTGTAAACCTTGAAATTAAGAATAATTCTCACCATCAAACTTATTTTTATTAAGACATATCGATAGTATTGTGAACATTAGAACTTTAACAGTGCAGAAGTTTCGGCTGCCTTTGACAATGAAAAGTGGGAAAGGTAAGGAAAATCTCACACATATGCTTTGTCAGTAGACGTTAAGCGATGGGAATCTGAAAACTCAACACTACTGAACAGTTGTGTTAGTTTCTTCTTCACATAGTATATAATTCATGAAATCTTTAAGCTTTGTAATACATACTTCAGCATAAAGCCGAAACATAGGTAGCTGATGCATACTTCGTGACCGCTTCCCTATAGTAAGTGTGCTTGTGCATGAAATACATCTCACTACTGTTTACCATATGAATCAGTTGCATTATGCAATGATCTCACGTTATACTACTATGTTACTTGTTCTTCCTTATTGCAAGTTTATGAATAGTATCAGGTTGCAGACCATAAATACCAAATTATTTAAACTCATAGTTTCCAGTATGAAGATGCCTAATTACTTTTATGTCGTATAATAGCATCCCTTTACCACTTAGGTTGGAATATCACTTGACGAAACTGTAACACGTGATGACTTCAATGATCTACTATACATTTTCAAAGCAACTAAAGTGAAACCGAAAGTAAGTAATTTTATTCGAAATTTTCCCAATGATATTGATAAATTTAATTTTTTTTTAAAAACTAACTGACTGACTTAAAGAAAAATCTTTGTAGATTTGTACAGAATTGTGTCGGTTCCATTTACTGTACTTGGAATAAGGAGAGAAAATAACCGAAGAGAAACATAGTTATACTACGATTTGAGGTTAGTTCTTGTAATACAGAAAATCTTGTTGCATAAGCATGTACTGGAAAATGTCTAAACTTGCAAAATATCAATCAGTTACTACCTTCATCTTTTGCCCAAACATTCTATGTCATCTTATTACTTTATTACCCGTTTTTTTATTATTCATTATTCCCTTGAGTTCCGAGTGGAACATAGGGCTTCAACAAAACATTTCCACCTTCTTCTATTCTCTCCTATCCTCCCCAGCTGGGACCGTGACTACTCATAATCTGTCAACTCCACCTCCTCACACGACCTCATCCATGTCACTCTACAACGAACCACTCTTCGTTTCCCAGTCAGATCCACTCTAGCGATGGCCTTCACAGCGCACCATGTCATTCGACGGCCTCCTCAACTTATGTCCGATAAATCCATCTCCATTTTCTTCTGCATTCTCGTCGAGCAATCGGCTCTCGCCTGTCGGTTTGTTCCCAGCCAGAGATTCTTGTTGATAATTCTTTCTGGCCAGCCAGTTGGCCAGTTGATCTTCAGTATGGAGCCAGCTGGCGAAAATGGCAGCTGTTGATAAAAGTCTGCAATCTGTTGGATGTGCTTTTCGTGACACCCAGTTCGAGTTTCTGACCCATGTAGAATAACTGACTGACTTCACTGACATTTGTGTTGAAAATCCGAATGTTGTTGTTTGTGCTGAAACAGTGCAGAAGATTTCGAAATTGGTTTCATATTGATGAAGGCGTATCTCGTCTTTCTGATTGTGACTGGCTGGCTTTGACATCTTCATCCGTTATGACTTCCTGTGGTTGAAACTGTGTTTCCTAGCCGGATAAGTGAAGGAAACAACCTCTGTGAAGTCTCTTCCGTTGATGGTGATTTGTGGTGGTTTGCTATCTTCATCACCTCCATCTTCTTAATGTTCATCTGGATTCCTGTCTTTGCTGCCAGCCTCTGCAGCCAGTTTGTCGGTTTTCGCCTGTAAGTCTTCGAGTCTGTGTGACATTAAACATCTGCGGAATGTAGATCTTCTAGAGTCTTCTTATCGGTACATCGTATTCCTGTCTTCTCACTCCCCACTCATGGTATGATGCACAATTCAATCCATTATAAAGTTTTTATGTGCAGAGGATGACCAATTGTCCCTGTTTGTTTGAATTTGTCTGATTTCTTCATATTCTTTTACTGCATGGAATGCAAAGGTATCATAATGAAATGAATAGAAAGACTTATTTGTGATCATGAACATATTTTATTCATGGAATGATATTTAGTTAATATACTGTACAGCCAAAATATGCAGTTTCTTCTACTAAGCTGTCATACTTATGGTTGCATTAAGTGAAATCAGTACATATTTGCTCCATATGAGGGAAAACAAATGGTACTAAGTATTCAGTCAAATAAAATTCCCAATCATTACTAATGTACCAGTTTGTAAACAGACAAGTTTAAAGTCACACAAAATTTCTGAATTAACAACTAAGATATCAATACTGATATAAGATATGTTGCGCAGCGTGTTAGCTTTTTTTGTAGTTCATGATACTCACGGATATGACGTCATTTAATGGTAAGCTAAGACAGGTTTCTGAAAGCTTAACTCTATAAATTTTATCAATGCTATTGTAGATTCCATCGTAGAGATTACTGACAGTCACCTAATTTTTACTTAGGTGTGGCCTTGCTGAAGGCTATTCGGGAAAGTAGCTTTCTATGATCTTCATCAGAGTAAATTTGTATATTTTGTGTGATTCTCATCCCTATAACTGGATTTAATCTGATATTTATTTATAAAACACAAAATAACTGAGCAAAGAATATCCTTTTCGATAATTTCCTCTTCTGGCTATACAATTATATATATATATATATATATATATATATATGTTTATATCCATAGAATATTCTAGAATAGTAGTTAATAACAATTTTGATGTTTTTTAAATAATATTGATTCGTTAAATAAAACCAATGCAATTATAGTTTATTAAAGATGCTTAAATTATAATAATAATAAAAATTTAGTAGCAAACAGAATATCAACTGAAATTAAGGAAATTTCTACAAAAAAATGAGGATCGTTGGAACTTAGATGCCTAAAGTAAGGATAATGTCTGAACTAGCTTCTGTTGGACACATAAATTAGGCCTCTTAATGTGTATCCCAACGGCCTCAGCAATATTTAGTAATCGAAATCTCAAGGCGAAATTAAGGTTTGCTGGTATGCGGTAAATGACTTTGAAAGCCTGGTTAACATCAATCTTGTGTTCTGCATCCACAAGATGAGAGAGAATGGCGCAACGAATAGATTTTGCTTGTCCTTTACTTAACCACACAGAATGATGTTCGGAAATCCGATGAGAAACACGCCTAATTGTGTGGTTTATGTAACTGGTTCCACAGGAGCAGTTAAATTGGGAGACACACATTGAAGAGGGTAAATTAGGCAGTTTTTCTTTTACTGACGAACGCAAAAGAAGAATGGTTTTGAAGACACAGCACAATTCAGTAGCAGGGAATGCCCTTTTTACCGCATTTCTAAGGCGTTGTGTTAGTATCTCTCTGATGTTGTCCCTAAGGAACTGAATTTGTAAGAATAAGGCCTTTTTAGGAACTGTTGGTACCTTGGGCTGCTTTTATTTTAGATTAATGTTCTTATCAATAAACTTTTATGGATAAGAATTTTCACTCAGCAACCATTCAATATTATTAAGTTTCTCATCAAGACATTCATCCGAGCAGATTGCACTTGCTCTATGAACCAAGCACTTTATCAGATTGCGTTAGTATTTTAAAGGCTAAGGTGAATACTAAAAAAGGGATTACTGCCTGAATTACTTATTATTTTAGCAGACATCTACATAAACTAGCCCAATTATTACTGTCAGTGTCGAAGTCTAATCCACTGGGAAACTGGTTGTGCTTACCCGTTTGCAGCATTCTTTTTGTTTGCACCTCGTTTAGTGCCTCTCTTAAATTGAACTGCTAAAGGCAGACTTCCCACAATAATACCCAGGGTATCCGTGATACACTTACTGGTTTGTTTAATCTTAATGAGATCTTCAGTATCAACAAAGTAAACATTTGTGACCGGTAGGCGTATTTTTGTTGTAATTATAAACTATGTGTCACCTGATGGCCTACGGATTTTCTTCTGGAATACTGGAAAATATCTATGGTGAAATTACCATTACCAATTAAATAAAAGCATATTTGTGTTTATGTTATTACTGAAATTAACTGAATAAACCCTCTGCTGCTTTGTTATGTCTGCGCCTGTTAATTACTATAACGGTAATGTAACTGACTGGTACGCTAATACTGCGGTGGTGTGATACAGACATTGTCTCCCAATAGAATATGATTCTCAAATATTCCCACAGTCCAATATAGCATTAGCAAAAGAATACGATATATTTATTTGAACATTCTATTTCATGTCGTTTAATGTAAGCTAAAGTCACACGCTCAATGGTTGGTTAGAGAATATAAAACTGTATCTATATAAATAGCGGTTTGATCACTTGAAAATATACCTTCGCTTCCGTGTCTTGCCTTCTGCTGCTACAATACGTCTATTTGTCCGTTGTACCTTCCGATTTACTGAGTCAAGCAAATGTCAAAAGACAAAGGATGGCCTGTGACTGTAAGATATTGTATGGTTACTATAATACATTATACTATATAGTTTAAGAAGAAAATTGTGGTGTTTATACATTTTCTTTACCATAATAAGGTGGGCTCAAAGCCGTGAGAATGGAAATAGCTATTCTCATTGGTTGGCGATCCGACAAAGGTGAGACAAAAGACGATGAATTGATCATACACTAAATTAGCTCAAGGTGGCTTAAACTAATTGTTGTGGATTTCATTCACTGGTGCCATGTTTTGATTTGACGGCCGCTAGCTGTTTTCCAGCCTGACCCTATGTCAGCTAACATTACCCGTCGAGGAAGGCGATGGCTAGGCATGCGGAGTACATGTCCTAAGCATCTCAGTCGATGTAACTTCACAACCTCGTCGATCGATTTCCCCTCCTTACCTAGCACTCGACGCCTAACCTCAATATTGCTCACCTTATTATACCACTTCACACGGGAGATAGAACGCAGTCACCTGTGATCAAAGACAACTAGTCTTTTCATGTCATTTACTTTCAATGGCCAGGTCTCACAGCCATAAAGGAGGACGGAGCGGACTGATGGGCAGTACACTTGCCCTTTGGTCGATAGCCGGATATTAAGTTTACGCCAAAGATGGCGTAAACTGGCATAGGCGAAACTAGCCTTCTGTATCCATGCTGAGATTTCTTCACAGATCAACCCGCTGGCGTTGGCTGATGCAGCTTCCCAAATAAGTGAAGCGGGCGACATGCTCCACCACTTCACTCCTTATTTCAAAACTAGGAGTCAGTGTAGTCCAGTCCTGTAACATCATCTTATATTTGGCAGGAGCGAATAGCATGTCAAACATTCGTAGATTGCTGCTCAAGGTGTTCAGTAGACTATGCACTTTGTCAGCATCCTCACCTAGAAGGACTATATCATCTGCATATTCTAAGTCAACGAGATTATTCCCTGGTAGCAAGTCAATCCCTGAGTCCCTGAAGTGAGTTAGGGTTGAGTCCATTAGTACATCTATGATGAAACTGAATAGAAACGGGGATAATGGGCATCCCTGACGGATACCACTAGTTGTCACCACTTCAGATGATAACTCTCCATAGGCTCTCACCTGGTTGACTACATCAGTTCGAGTAGAGTAGAGTGCCTTGATCAGTGCAATGTATCTCCTCGGCATTCCGTTCATGGCCAAGCATTGCCATAGTACCTCTCCGTCGACAGAATCGAATGCCGCCTTTAGGACAAGAAATATAACGATTGTTGGACGCCGGTAAGAATGCCTATGTTCAAGAATCTGTCGAAGGGTGAAGATATGATCAATACACCCTCTTCCTGGTCTGAAGCCTGCCTGGTTCTCTTGTGTTTGTGCCTCCCGAGCACCACTTAGTCTGCGCAATATTATTGAGCCTGGGACTTTAGATACCATATTAGTCAAACTAATCCCCCTGTAATATGGCTCAAAATCGTTCTCAATGGTGCAGATGAATCCACTCCTTGTGACTTATAATTTCCAATGAACCTATATTGTCCTTCGTTATTACTACTCCTTTGTCTCCTATCCCTGCCTACTGTCTCTATTATGCATTTCTTCTAGTTTCTTTTACTTTGCGTGATACATGGCGTGTGAACTGCTGCACATCGGTGCAAATTTCCATGTCGAAAGCAGACAGACAGACACTAAATCACAGTATGCTTAAGAAATGATAGATTAACATAGTAACTCCATCACATGATAAATCACAGGATTCATGAGAAAGGATGATATACTATTTTATGCTAGGTCCAATCAGTTTATCAGAGCTTATTCAGGATTTTTGTTTATAAAACAAATCGGTCATCTATGAAACTTACATCTCATCTGTGTGATTTTTTAACTTGGATCATCCAGACAGTTTTCCGACATAGTTATTTCTCCTAATAATTCCTCTCTTTTATCCTGTTTCTCTAGGCTCATTCAACCAACGCCATCACTACATACCCTCATCTTATTCGCAAAACTGATTACCTGACACATTCTGTGTTTAATTCATTCCACTCTGAAACTGAATTATTACGATATATGAAACGGCTTGAAAATAAGGATTTCTCTTTGGCCCATTCTTGCATACCTTTAGGTTCCTGCACTATGAAATTAAATGGTACTACAGAATTACTTGTAAGTATGACGGATGTATTTTATGTTAGATTGTTTTTCATTATCCAATAAACATTGTTTTCAGAATTTACAATATATATTACTTGTGATTCATGTTTATTTTATGAATAAATTACAATGAAAAGCCGTGTTGAACAAAGTTCAGTATTTAACAACATAATTGAATTAACATGGTAAATTGCAGTCAACCAAGAAACACCAGTCTAGAATTAATACACCAAAGGAACAGGAGGGAAATAGGAGGACACAAGAGAACCAGTCAGTTGCAGATTCACTTCCTGTTAGAAAAGTGAATTCCAAGCAATATTAACCATAGACTAAAACATTAGAATTATGGAAATAAGGAAAGAATGTGAAAAGTCATTGATAAAGTAGAGGCATATTTTAAAAAGTCTAACTGTTAAACGAACTACATTCAGAATTTGAACCAAGTCCGCAATTAAGCTAAGCTTTTCAGATTATTATTATTATTATTCCCTTGAGTCCCAACTGGAACATATGGCTTCAACAAAACATTTCCACCTTCTTCTATTCTCTCCTATCCTCCTCAGCTGGGACTGTGACTACTCATAATCTGTCAACTCCACCTCCTCACACGACCTCATCCATGTCACTCTACAACGAACCACTCTTCGTTTCCCAGTCAGATCCACTCTAGCGATGGCCTTCACAGCGCACCATGTCATTCGACGGCCTCCTCAACTTATGTCCGATAAATCCATCTCCATTTTCTTCTGCATTCTCGTCGAGCAATCGGCTCTCGCCTGTCGGTTTGTTCCCAGCCAGAGATTCTTGTTGATAATTCTTTCTGGCCAGCCAGTTGGCCAGTTGATCTTCAGTATGGAGCCAGCTAGCGAAAATGGCAGCTGTTGATAAAAGTCTGCAATCTGTTGGATGTGCTTTTCGTGACACCCAGTTCGAGTTTCTGACCCATGTAGAATAATTGACTGACTTCACTGACATTTAAGTTGAAAATCCGAATCTTGTTCTTTATTCTGAGGCTGAGTGCAGAAGATTTCCAAACTGATTTCATATTGATGAAGGCGTATCTCGTCTTTCTGATTCTGACTGGCTGGCTGACTTTGACATGTTCATCCGTTATGACTTCCTGTGGTTGAAACTGTGTTTCCTAGCTGGATAAGTGAAGGAAGTAACCTCTGTGAAGTCTCTTCCGTTGATGGGGATTGGTGTTTGTTGTTGTTGCTGGTGGTGGTTGGTTGTATTCATTACCTCCGTCGTCTTTATGTTCACCTGGAGTCCTATCTTCGCCTGTTCTTCGGGTAATACATCCCCAAAGTAGTCTTTCTGAATTACTTTTATCTCAAAAGTAATTTTTTTATCATAAATCATATTTTTAGCGTGCCAGTGGTTCACTGACTAGCAACGCAAGTGGTTCGGGTTCGATTCCCGATCGACTCGCTTCTTAACCTTGCCAATACGGTAGTAAGCTCATAAAAGACGGAAAGTCAGGCGTCAGCTAAGCAACATCAGCTCGTAAAAGTGAAAGTGCTACTGAAAATTCAAAGCTTAAGGCTTGAAGCCTTACTGTTCATTCCGAACGTCAAAGAATGAAAAAAACAATGCAGCCAAAACAGTTAAATGAAACATTACTTGAAATGATGGATCACCTCTAAAGGAAACATTACCACATAAAATGTTCAACATCTTACTATTTGTTGTCAAGGAATATAAAATCAACTTATAGAACCGATATCATTTAGCACGCGAAGCAGTGAGAAATATAGGCAACTGAACACAAATACTAGCAAAATATTTCCGAGAAACGATATCATCACAAACTAATGTTAATTTGCACGGCAGTAGAGACAAGTAAGCAGTTTTACCGAAAGAATTTCATTCACGCCAATGTGGTTTGACACCATTGTCATCCTTTGTATAAATATTTTACATCTGTATATATATACGTCGGTGGCACAGCGGTAGAATGCTCGCTGACCACGTAGAAGATCCGGGGTTCGGTCCCCGGCCGACGCACTCGTTTACCTCGTTAAGTCACTAGTAAGACTGGTTAAGAGGGAAGGTTGAGCATGAGGCTAGCAACCCCATCCTGTAAAAAAATAAGAAGCCTCTAGCTTGAAACTCTATGTTCCACTGGGAACATAAATGAATAATATATATTCCATAAAGCATATATTACAGATGATTGCGATGTACAAGTCTTATTTGTGAGTAGCTAATGTCATTTCCCAGAGCGTGTAGTGCAAAAGCTCAGGTAAACATATAGTTTTGCAGGAAGACAAGGCTCTTTTCCTTTCAGGTTTTCTAAATGTGTCACTTGTTCATATTTAGCCTTATTTAGAGTGTTTCTTCCCGTATTGTCAAGCTGAATATCCAAGTAACTTAAATAATGTCAAATGAATTCATAAATTATTTTCACTGGGATTTTGGTTTCATTAGATACACTCTAGAACAAGTGTAAGTAGCTAAAATATAGGACACTATTAGTTTTAAATGAGTTTATTTACTCCTGCGACAGTCTACTGATATTCCATTAAGTAGATGAAAGTTAACTTCACATAACTACATTTTAAGTGTGCGTCAGTGGCAAAGCAGTTAGGACGCTCGCCGACCATGCACATGGTCCGTGGTTCGATCCCCGGCCAACGCACTCCTTTACCTCGCTAAGCCAGAAATAATGCTGGTGAAGAGGAAAGGTTGGGCATGAGACTAGCAACCCCACCCTGTAAAATAAACACTGCTACGGAAACTTCAAGCCACTAGCTTGGAGCCCTATGTTCCACTGGGGAACGTGAAGAAAAAAAAATTTAAGTGATCCAATTATGACAATATCTGATTTAAGTACTTAATAGCGTTTATTTATCTGCTTACTTCCAAATACAGATAACCATAAGTTTAATTACGACTGCATATCTGAAAGGTGATGTTGATAAAATCATTTGTAGCACATAAATCTTTATACTTCCATCGAACTGTGGACTGATCCGTAGAGATTGCATAGAATTTTCCTGAACTTCAATAAAACTTATAAAGCATGTGTTGAAAGACTGAGTACTTGGCATTGTTATAAAGTAAAGGTTAAGAAATTTCAGCAATGAATTAATTCTAACTTATGCGACTATTTCAATCCAGTAATTTCATTGTTGTTTCTGTTTTAACACTCCCAATACGACTGATCGCCCTACTTTATATCAAATTATAGGCTTGTTCATGGGATACAGTGAATAAATTACATCCTTTGGTACCAAAAAATCAGATAACTGGTTACCTAGAATTGATTGGACAACTGGAAAATGATATAAAAGAGATTACTGGTTATGATTATGTTTCACTTGCACCGAATAGTGGGGCACAAGGTGAATATGCTGGACTAAAAGCGATCAGAGGATATTTGGACAGGAAAGGCAAACAGAAACGTAATGTAAGTCTATTATACAATTCTTTCTCAGAATTTGTAAAACCATACTACTGAAAAAAAGAAAACAGAAAAGTGTGAATCATTTTCAGAGGTGAAATCTTTCTTTTATTTTATAAGTACCTGTTACTAAATGTTGCTATTATATTTCCATATATTGGTTAAACTAACAGTAACAACTCTTCATCCTCTAACAAATATCTGGAAAACACGGTCAATCCTTGCTTACTACTTCTCACAACTTTTGCCACTTGTCTGTTTATAGTTAGGCTAGACACAATGACTCAGTTGCGGGTAGGCCATATCGTAATCTAAACCTTACTAAATTAGTCTCGTTTTCTGTCTCAGCTTACATACGGTCACAAACCGACATCCGTTAAACAATCATTGTGAAACATAAAACGCCAAGCAGCTAATAGGTTGTAGTTTGGGACTCTTCTATAGTGCGCGCCAACGACCAAGATGAGGCTCAAACATAGAACTTCCAGGTTATCAGCTGAGGCTGTTGACGATTCAATTAATAGGTCAGGCGTAAATGACCCGTGAGTTGTGACTTTTAACAATTCGAGATATAACACTGTCGCCGAGCAGTGACGTTGACGAGTATTCACTTCTCATCTGACGTTCCGTAGACTCCTAAACTAGAGAGAAATAACTGCCAAGTGTTCAGTGATTCTCTCGGTGATGTCAATTCGTGACAAAATTTAAAGTGAACCTAACCAAAGTTCCTACAAGCCCCCAAATTCAAACTTTTTCCTTATTTTTTGTACTTTTCCTAATGAATTCTGATAACATTATTAACATTCTAAACTCCTGCTTTTTAAGTTGTACCTTATTGTGTTAAATGGAGTGGGACGGATTCGACAGCTACGCAGTTATGCTACGTCTAATGTTGATAAAGTTTATCTTCTTGAATTTGGGGAGAAAAATTCTCCTCGGATATACTGGAAATACTTCTCGGATGTCGCCTATTACTGAAGGTCATTTGCACGTACTTATTCACCCCATAGTTAACATTTAACAACTTGTATGTTTGACAAAGCTTATTAAACACAGTCTCCATTCTAACTGTCTATAAGATGAAGATATCAGTGTGAAAAAAATTACACAGCAAAAAGTGTCTACCTCTAAGTAAGAGCACTCGGTGATTTACGTACACATGTCCTGTATCCTAGTGGGCTATGAGCACAAATTCATTTAATCTCTCTATGTCTAAATGTGAATTTATTTTCAAAACTGTTAAGTGGATCGAATACAGCCTACCTGCAAATATGAAATTCACTTGATTGGATTTCCATTAATGAGGACAGCGCACTTCATTTGAGATTAGTTGCATTTCTTGTATGTGATAAACATCTCTTTGGCACTATCATCGAGAAATATTCACTGAAAGGCTGACCACAATTTATTATTTCTATGAAGAGAAACAAAATTCCACATACAGGACTTCCTAATCAGTATATTGTAGTTGTTCTGGAGAGATATTCGATTGCCATTTGATATTCACACCAGCATTATCTAGACTAATAGTCATTTCATTTATATGGTGTCTAACGATGTTTTTCTGAGCTAAAAATCTCGTAGAACTGTGCACAGGGAACAATATTATCCTTTATGATAATTTCAGACTAAAATTTAGTACAACATTTTCTCGAACTTTAGTTCCAAACGACCAAGTAATCAGTGAAACAGTGTACCAGTTCGTATTCATGAGATAGATGAAAAGATGTTGGATATTATCTAAATTTTGCGGACAAACTACAACTCCAGTACAGATCACAATTTCCATCGTTGTACGAAATCAAGAGGTATTGATTAGTATATCCTCTAATTCTTAGCATAACTGAATATCTCTTTTGTTCTATGTGTAATTACTGTTCGACTAGAAAACTTACATTTTCTGATCATTTTTGCTGAGTTTCTCTGAGAAATTATGAAATTAATTATTAAAAAAGAAACTATCACCATTCATTGTAAAATTATGTACAGATCTGTCTTATTCCTACTTCGGCTCATGGAACAAATCCTGCAAGTGCACACATGGCTGGAATGATTGTTAAACCTGTAAAGACGCTGTCAAATGGTTGTTTGGACATGAATCATTTAAAGGAACAAATCTCGTTGTATAGAGATAATTTAGCAGCTATTATGATTACCTATCCAAGTACATTTGGTGTATTTGATAATGATGTTCAAATGGTGTGTGATTTGGTTCACGAAGCCGGTGGACAAGTTTTCATGGATGGTGCCAATTTAAACGCACAGGTGACTTTATTGATTCACAGTTTTTTCATTATTTATCTTGGTCATTGTTCACTTTGACTAGTATGTAAATCAGCTGAGGTTTTTACTTTTAATGCTAGGAGTATATTGTAGTAAGTTATTGATTTTTTAAAGGTGATTTGACAGTTGATTTCATCGGCAAAAGCATCAAAGTCAAGAAGTTCACAATACTGCTTTATACATTCGTCTTTAATTAGCTTTGGCTGGCTACCAAGACTGTTTGGAGCAGTTATCATGATACAGAAGCCTATCTTTAGACATCTTATGTTGTACTTACAATCCACTACAGTTACTCCACCGACTACAATTCGAAGATTTACAAATGGTATTGCTTGTCACATAGTCAAAAATTGAATAAACAAACATCATGATTAGATGAAAAATAAAGCTGCGTAGATAATTAAGCTTTCTTTATACCTCACTTAGTGGAGCCACAATGTGGCTCAAGTGTGAATCTTTCTCCAACTGCGACCAATATTACAACTAAAAGTGATCTACCAAAATGAGGCTAACTCAAATAGTTTCAACAACTTTCCTTGAAGTTCATAAATGCCTTGATGTGAAAGTTATTTTAATTCGAGGTCAGAATATATGTACGTCAATATCTGCATGACTATTAGTTAATTTCATCGTCGTAAATTACGAATCGTATTACTCGACCACTGTATCATAAATCGTAACGACTCGTAGATTAAGGCAATCTGGATTTGTATCCATCTTTATCAAAGGGATGCAGACGGCAATAAAGTAAAAATGCATGGTTGTATTTCATTACCATAGCTTATCTCTAGTAGTACAGGTTAAGACAAACAACATAATCCGTTACCTTATAGTAGGAAAGATTTTTCAATAGAAAAATCTTGCATTCGGTTAAAAATAGATCTAGTTTCAGAGAAACTGTCCACCGTCTACCTACTAGCAAGTGTAACATCATAAATTTCGTCCTCAGCATTAAGTTATATTTATTTATTTATTTTTGATTACATCTTGATGCCATATCGTATTTTCAGTACAAGTATGGAATTTTCAGCATGGATATCGGTAGCCCAAATTTTGCAGGCCGACCATAGATATTGGGTGTGCGTCGGCGGGGGATCGAACCCCGAACCATGTGCATGGTCGGCGGGAGTCCTAACCACTGTGCCACCGACGCACTTGGCTATTTTTTCAAAAGTATCCGATTTTATGATCACTTTGTGAGACCATTGGATGACCGGTCTAAAATACAGCATAATTATTTTTACAGCCTTGTTGACTCACACGTATAATTATTCCTAGTAACATATCGATTACATTCCAGATATGATATCCTGTTTGTGGTAGTCCACTTTAAAGCATAGGAAATTTCCAAAATTTTGAATGAATTGAGTGGCCAGGCTTGAATATATATTCATTTACAGCATTCCTTGATCAACACTGACCAATTAATATACAACGAGAGTCGATTCAAAGTTATCTGCAAAGTCAAAAGAAGCCTCCCGAAAACGATATGAATCTGTATAGTTTGCACTGCAGAAGCCTTAGTGATTCAAATGCAAAACCCTTATTTATGTATACAGAATTTACAAAATTCTCCTAATTCATAAGAGTATATATGGTACGTAAGCTTATGGATTGTAACTCTTTGCTAAAAGAGAAACTGCTTATTTAAAATAGTAAGTTATACGTATGGAATGAATCCTAGATTAAGTAGAACCCACATAGTAGCTCAAAGTAACTAATTCCCTGGTGGACCATACCAAACACCACAGTATTTCGAAGGGTTACTAAATTTTTTGGCATAAGTAATCGTGGATTTTTTTCTAAAAGTGACTAAGAGCTTTCCATGGATCTACCGTTTTTTTTACAAGACAGCTTCGCACTCAGGCTTGAAGTAATGCCGTCATATAGGAACATTCAGAAATTCGGAGCATTACTTTTCTCGAAATCCGAATTAAGATGAATACAACTTGAGTCTATTGAAATGTTAAGTTTTTTTTGTGACTGTTTCCAATGGTGATAATCATAGCTTCTCTTTTGTGCCAACTATTCGCCTAGTGAATAGTACTTGTCAAAGAGAAGAACAGAGAAGTATCATCAACATATTACATTCATTACTGCATAGTTGCCCTGCGTCGGTGGTAGGGCGGTTAGGACGCTCGCCAAACATGCACATGGTTCGGGGTTCGATTCCCCGCCCGACGTACACCTGATATCAATGGTCGGCCTGCTAAATTTGGGCTGCCGATATCACATGCTGAAAATTTCATACTTGTACCAAAAATATTGTGTGGAGTCAAGCTGGAATAAAAAAATATCTCCACACCATGTAGAAAATAATTTTTTACGAAAGGGAAACAGAGATATGACGAGCAATGAGTCAAAAATTGTAGAGTGCTATAATACAACAATAAAAAGTAGTACAAATTATAACAAGTATTCTACAAAAAAAAAGTAAAAATTCGTCTGTGCCACTGTAAGTCATTCTGAGTCACATACCACAGTAACTGATCACAGATTTTCTTTGTTAACTTTAGAAATAAGTGGTGAACTACAAGTGTGCATTTTCATGTGATGTCCTGCATTTCAGTTCCTATTTTTGTTATATATCAAAATGCTAACATCGATCAGGGGTGTTTACTATGGAATACAAAATTCTTTGGAATTGACACATTACTTTCAGGAGTGAACAGATTTATGCTGTCGAGCATCTACCCGGTTCAGTAATCAATGCGCACATTTTATATTATGCTCAACAAAGATTTATTAAGAGATTCTTGGTGCGTCATTACTAAAACATTTTTTTGAGTGGGGTAAGAATTGTCCTTGTCCCATGGCTCTTCGAATTATGTAGGTAGATGGCAAATATCCTGCAGTTAATATACACCAACGGGTCCCAGTGGCTCAATGGTCTACGAGCTCGTCTTGTGACCAGAAGGTCCTGGGTTCGAGCCCCGTGGTGCGGGTGCGTACTGATGAAGAGTCCCAAGCTAGGAAGAAACAGCTGTTCAGAATCCCCAGGTTTGTGCGTCGGTAGCAAAGAGGTTAGGATGCTCGCCGACCATGCACATGGTCCGTGGTTCGACCCCCGGGCCAACGCGCTCCTTTACCTCGCTAAGCCAGAAATAATGCTGGTGAAGAGGAAAGGTTGGGTATGAGGCTAGCAACCCCACCCTGTAAAATAAACACTGCTACAGAAACTTCAAGCCACTAGCTTGAAGCCTTATGTTCCACTGGGGAATGTGAAGGAAATATATATATATATATATATATATATATATATATATATATATATATATATATATATACCAAGGATCTGATTGGTTAATTATAATCGGATTTAATGAGATCACCTTAATGAAGTTCTATAAGAAAACAGTAACCTCAAGAATTATCAAGGTGACTGAGAAGAAAAATTGGTCACCCAGATCGCCATTACACATCACATTTTATGTGGCAGGCTGTAAGTCACACTTATTGTATGAAGGTCTATGATATTGCCGAGGCTGAAGGAAGAAGAAAAGAGTTTGAACTCTCTTGGATATTGTGATGTAACAGCTCAGTGTGACGCAGTATTTAGTTTTCACTAATCCGCTACCTTCTAAAAGGTTTCCAGTATCGAAAATTTTTTAAAGTAATTAATTCTTCGAATTAGCGTTTATTTTTATGTTATTTCCAAAATGCATACTAAATGGAAGCATTTTTATTCCCCTACTTACATTTGATAGGTTGGTTTGTGTCGCCCAGCTGACATTGGTTCAGACGTCTCACATTTAAACCTGCATAAAACATTCAGCATTCCACATGGGGGCGGTGGACCTGGTTGTGGACCTGTTTGTGTCAAATCACATTTGGCAGCATTCCTACCCAAACATTATTTTTATGGTCACACATATGTGAATGACGCTGGTCATAAAATTAATATTGGCGATAAGTCATCTTCCCATTATGCAGTTTGTTCTGCTCCGTTCGGCTCTGCGAGCTTACTGCCAATATCATGGTCATATATCCGATTACTGGGTCCTAAAGGTAGTCAGTTTTCATTGAATTTGAAGTAACAATTTTAGAGACTGACTGACTTTTCTCTAACAACAGTTTATCAATAAGTAAGAGATCCTGTTAGGCAGGTTTGTAGTAGCGCGACTGAGGCTTGAATTCATTCTGAGGATGATATGTAGTCACATGATATCTGCTTGTTTGTCAACCTGATATGTTTGTCATGTGTCTATTGATCGTTAGTCAGTAATGAATGACTCACAATCTATCTTGTCTGTTAATCAACTAAATAACAATGTATGACCTTTGTCACATGACATTGCAGTTAATCAGAATCCAGTTAGTAGTAAGAAAAACTACTCATCTATCTTACTGGATCATGTATGTTAGTTGTTTTCTTATACTATTATATTGTACAATTGATTGACACTTTTCCATTCACACTCTTGTGTGACAGTTAATTTCCCTTGTTGGAGTAATACACGTGTCCTTCGTCAACGTGTGGGTCTTCTAAATTTACTCTTCGGGTCAGGGGAATTTAGCTACTAAGCAAAACCAGTCGTTCCGTCATCGTCCGTTGTATCTCGTTAGTCATATTTATACTCGGTCACTCCATAACAGAGGATAATTGTCGATGGTTTCTGTTCCAAACCACATCCGATGGCTTTTCATTCACGATGTCACATCATCTTTTATAACTTACTAGGGGATCATAAGTCGGCGAAGATATCTGTCTTTCATATCACGATGCCACATTATAGGCTGACCATCTTTCTTTTTCTTCTAAGAAGTTTAAGGGCTAGTACTATTTCAAACATATGCACTTTAGTTTTCAGATGAATAGTTCAGTGTGACTAGTAATCTATTCACACATTTATTTCTGCTTACTGGAAGAAAACCAGCGTTTTTATTATGCCTCAGTGTGTAAAATATTCTTAATTATAAATAAGTCACCGAAAGTAAATCGGTGTGATTTTCGGTTCTTCAGTATTGAATGGAGGCTACTTCTCAAGTACGACCAGTAATCGAAGTAACACAACACTAGATTTGAATGGTTAGAGTAAATCACTTATCCCAGATTGCTAACATAAGACTCACAAAGACTACATTAAAATTAATTTCGATTATCTGTATCTTTTTAGGAGTGAAACGAGCATCCCAAATAGCTTTGCTAAATGCTAACTACATGCTAAAACGTCTTCAAGATTACTATAACATACGTTATGTAAACGATGCTGGAATGTGTGCGCATGAATTTATAATCGATTGTTCACAATTCTCTGACCAACATATCGAGGTAATAGATATTGCAAAGCGATTAATGGACTACGGTAGGTACAAGTCACTAAATTGATTATTTTTCTTTCTATATTATCATATCAAACGTTCAATCTTCAAATGAGAAAAATCTGACAGACACACAGTTATAATCCGTCCAACTTCAAGTTTGTACGACATATGATATAGATTATCCGTGAAATCAAGATCTTTGAGGGTCAGTACGACGTTTGCAAGTCCTCTCACTCCTCACAGCCCACCACAATCAAAAAGATCATTGTTGATATTAATCAGCCTTTTATTACTCTCGCATCCGTGAGCCCTCATTTGTGAATCATTTCGCATGTCACAATCATATGGCTGTTGAATGAGCTCAATAAATGTTGGAGGAACTACACTCCGTGGTGTTGAAGCATTTCCAAATAACTTTTTTGTCGACTCTGTCGAAGACATTTTCGAGGCCGGTGAGCCTGGGGTAGAAATTGGATAGAGCCATTCAAGGCTCTGTTGATGTTTACTGTTGCAATTCGGTGTGTTCAATCCAACCGCCGGGTACCTTCCAATCCAGCCACGCCATCTGTAGTAGTGGAGTTAGTATGTCATTCGTAGCACCAGTTTTGCGTTTCTGAGTGTTGGATTTCAGTTGTGGTCCATTTCCATCTTCTCTGAAGGCGATCAACGTGATCTTCAAAGCCACTGCAGTAGATAATGATCTGAGCCTACTCCTGGTACTCTTATCATCAATCTTGTCTCTAGTAGTCTGCGTCTCAACTTTCTTCAGATTAAGATGAAGTCTGATTCTGGTGTGTCCGTCTCCTCGTGGACATCCTTGTATTTGTACGACTTATCTCCAATCTCCAAATCATTCAAGGCACAGAAGTCTTCAAATAGTTCTCTGTTCTCAATAACTCTACCGAGAGCCTCTCCAGCCACGATGAGTTCACTTTCTGTGTTCTCTGCTCCCATCTTGGCTTGCATTCAGTTCACCCATATGGATCGCGATTTCGCCATCTCACTGAGGTCCTGTCTATTACTAGTTGCAGTTGGCTGTCTGTAGAAGCCCTCCTACTTCACTTCGCCTGCGTTGTTTGTAGGTGTACGGCATTGATCTTGTTATCGTGATCCTGGAGGAGATTGTTTCCCACTCTATGAGTGTCTTCAATACTGTTGGTGACATCATAGAATTTACACTGCCAGCGTGGTGGTGGTTGTCGTGTGGATGACCGGAGTAAACTACTGACTGCCCAATTGACGATTTGCAGAGTCCACTTCCCTTCCCTCTGCTTTCACAAATTCCTTACATTTCTATGCTACATCTCATTTCTCTTGAGCATAATCACGTCAGCTGGAAACATGGTTCTGACAGTTCATGTCCCTTTGTCTACTTTTTCTTTTACGGAGAGAAAAGAGACATCAGTCTAGTGGCTTCATGGTTGCTCCCATCAGCCGGCGTCACTCCCCCCTCTCGATTCCAGCAAATGATAAGTTAATTTTCATATTTTCCTGTGCTTTAATATCTCTCTAACGACTTGTTCGATTTTTCGGGATATGATCTTCAGACACAGCCCGAACCTTCACGCTCTTTCCTGTCTGAGGACTAGCTAGCAGGTTAGAAAACTAGTAAACCAGACGAGGTTACCTACTTATCAGTTACCAGATATTTTTGTGTCACCGGGTCACACATACCGAAAATGTATTTTGTATTGTCAGGCTTTATTACCAAACATTTCATAAGAGTTGACGGTATCAATGCATTGAGCCACTTCACAATATCCTCATAAGCTAACATTGTGTACACACAAGTCATTCAACAACTACTGTCATTTAATAGATAGAAAACTCATAACTATTCAGGCGCATTTAAGTAAGCTTGTCTGCTTTAATGCGTCACAACTCCACTATTGGATAAGTTAAATTTATGATATTACCAAGACATAATGTTTGAATTTTCAGAAACGATATTTATTTCGTCTCTGTCATACCAGCTGTCGCTAAATTAGCACTGATCGAGAGCAAGTATTCAAAACTGTTCACGGTATAACAACAGAGTATTTGATGTCTTTACGATGCAGCGAATAGTGTGCTTAATAGTATGAAAATTTGTCTGAAAGTATTGCTCTTCACAATACTATGATCCTCTTTAAGAAAATGCCTAGTTCACAAAAAACTAACACAATCTGGAATAGTAATAGAGTGGTGGTGTGAAACAAACAGTGTGTGCCAACGGAATGCCATTCTCACATGTTCCTCCCACAGTTTGATTCAGCGTTAACAACAGAATACGATATATCTATTTGAACACTCTATTTGGTGTTAGAGTCGGAATGTTATTCCCACAGTTCAATACTGCATTGGTAACAGAATACCATGTATATTTGAACTTTCTATTTTTTGTAGTTTGATGTAAACCGAAATCACAAGCTCAGTGACTATAGTTAACGAAGATAAACTGTAGATATATAAACAGCGGTTTGATTAATGAGAAATATACTTTGACTTCCGTGTCTTGCCTTCTTATAGCCCAGTGAAATCAATATTGAGACTGACAGTAGTTATAATATGTTATCCTCACTTACATTCCACTTATTGTTACTCTTCAAATCATTTATGCATGAAGGTTTTCATAGCCCTACTATGTCATGGCCCGTGACATCAAGTTTAATGATTGAGCCAACGGAAAGTGAATCACGCTTAGAATGTGATCGTCTGTGTGATTCCCTTATATTAATAAGAAAAGAGATCGATAAAGTGGTCAAAGGAGAATGGGATGTAGAATGTAATCCGTTAAAAATGGCTCCACATACAATGGAAGTAAGTATATATGTATGTATTATTAAAAGTGTTTTTTTTTCAATAACTTTATTTTAAAAAGAATTTCTTCATGCTTAAGTACCTATTATTATGGAATTTTCTGACAGGATCTACACAGAGATTGCTAAGAGGATTAAATTTGACCAAAACATTTTTTGTCAACACACCGTAATCAAGCATTTCTAGTTGATCCTGTCTGTTTGCATAGAGAAAAACAAAAGGTATTTAACTTGTTTCGCATAAAATACAAAAGTGTACCTTTTAATGGTACAATTCGAATTAATACCTGAATCTTGTTACAGAATTCACTTAATTCACTACACCTAACATTGAAATAGTTCAAACCACTTAAAAATTTAATTTAAAGCAATTAACTGTTATTATAAAACGGGAATTTACACGTAACTATTGCTTGATAATTTACTCGCGTAATATCTTATCCGTTATTTTATAAAACACACAGGTAGTCATCAATTCAAAATGGGATAGACCATACACGCGCCAAGAGGCAGCATTCCCAGCTCCATGGCAAAATATGAAGAATGGATCGATAAATAAGCTGTCGAAATTATGGCCAAGTGTAAGTCGCCTAGATGATGCATATGGTGATCAAAACTTGGTTTGCACATGTCCTCCATCTTCAACACTTCTTGACAACTGAATGAGTTCAGACGTCATTATAAGTTCAAAAGAAATTGATCAGATTTTTTGTTTTCATCCATTCAAAACACTAGCTACATTCCTATTGAAGCGTATCTATTCTTCTGTTGACCAGTTATTTGAACTCATACTTAAAAATTTGGTGAATGGCAATACGAGTTTCTCCTTATATATTCACAAATTAAAGACACATTCCGTTTATTCAGACATCACGTCAGTAGCGAACTTCAGATATAAGTTAGGTTTGGGACTTTATTTGATGCCTGATAAAATGTAGAATATTTTAAAAGTCTTTAGTAGATGAATTTTGGAAGTCTTGTCGCGTGTATGTTACGCACAATATAAGGGTCCTAAACTACTTTGCAGTGGTATTTAGTACTTAAAATAGAGTTAAAGTGGTTAAGTGTATTGATAAGTTTGTATTACCTCAGAGCTGTATGGAACATAAACACTTACCTACTGATAAAAATAGAGACGATATTCAAGGAATGGCTTAACATCACCAGTTTACAAAATCCATGTAGCTCGTAAAATACAATAATATCTACTAATTGATAAGTAGGCTGCTAATACACATTATGAGTGAATAGCAGTCGTTAAAGACTGTACACAAGGAGTTATAAAAACCTGACCAAGAAAATCTTCGTTAAGTCTGTGTACGACTAAGTCAGGTGTTAATATTATATTAAAGGACGAAGCTGGTGAACTCTAACAACTGTGTCTGAAATCATGTACACCAGTCGATCACACTCGGTGTGAAGAAATTAATACAGCATTAGTAGATTTATGGAAAAAATTAGTCGTATTTCAAGCCAAGATGTTTGCGAATTGGTTAGAAATCTAGACTTATCCCCTTAAAAGTGTTCACACTGTAGAAAATATAGTCATTTGAGTTGAGCAATATCATATTGCTCTGCAATATTTTTATACTGACCACTACTCATCTAGAAGTATTGATTTACGCTGTGTTAACTTCAACATCGAGTTAAGTAGGTCGAAACCTAAATAAGGTCCCTTCGGGGTAGTAAATGGAAATTTTCGATTAGTGAAATCCACGGATAATTGACTTCTTAATGCATGAAACCAAGATATGGCATTAAAACATACACTCACTATAATGCGACTTACTTTTGACTATACGGAACAGGTTAATTTCTGAGAGAAAACCCGCGTAACTTCAGGTTTACCGTAAGAGAACCTGTACACTGTAGTATTACCACATAGTATATCAATTTATTTGATATTATAGAAGGAGGTACAGTATTTTTAGGAAGATGACTCTGATCAAAATTTAAGACTGGTGATTAAATAATTTATCAGCGTAGAACTGTACAAAAGCGTTTCAGTTCAAGTTATCACAAACTGAAGCGCATACAAAACTAGAAAAAAAAGACATAACGAAACCAAAATTGACGGAAATATATGGGAACAAGAATAATTAGGTGAAAAGTAATTAGGATTTTCAGAACCTGGATAATAACTAGAAGTGGATGCTTCAGTGGGATCGCAAACAGCATCAACCTTCGATTCGCAGCATCCCTAAGACATCAACGACAAGGCTTACACCACAGAAAGTAGACCAACACAACAGTCACAGACTTCGTATACGGATAATATGTTTCTATCTGACCAAACGTACCACTTTTCTAGCCTGCACCTACTTAGGCTGACACTGCTCGCTGAGGATAGCATGAGTAGCGCGTGTTCTAATCATCTCTATACACGCAACTTCGAAATATCATAGATTGATCTTCGCTAACGAAAACTTTCGCATACTTTGTATTCGTGTGAAGACTTTGACAGCAATTAATCCATTAGGGGTGATGCCAATTACAAATTCAGTGAAGTAGTCAACAAATCAACTATTTCTTTCCCTGTCCTTAAAATCGAAGTCTATGTGTTTGACAAAAGAGAATCTCACCCCAAAAATATTTAAAGTTTGGCTTAAGATTTTCAGAATACTTTACATTTGCTTAAGAAGATTATATAACCACATTACTTCAGACCAATGAGACTTCCCTCTGGCATTAAGTCAATCCTTGAGAAATTGAAGTTGATTAGAGTTAAATCCATCAGTACGTCTATTATAAAATTAACTGATGGTACTAGTATCCATTTCTGACGGACACTACTGACTGACATTGCTCCAAAAGAATTTCTCTATCTCCCTGGGGACTGACATCTAGACTGAAACTGAACCAGTTAGAGCCAGTCTGTGATTATCTATCTAAATAGTTGAGTAAACAGCCAATCAACTGATTTTGTCTTCATAGATGAATGGATCACAAATTTAGGCGTTATGTACTAATCGCCGTATTATTGTTGGCATACAAATTTTCTATGTGTTGTGAGAATGTAACTCTCCCTACCATCTCGGTGTGTAACCTCAACTAAGCAGCAGAGAGTAAAATGAGCTAGTAATTGTATAGAGTTAACCTTGCCTAGTCTACTAGCCAATCCCAAGCTGGGAAGAGAGGAGAGATTCGGCGTGGGACTAGAGACATAGCTGCGTGAAAAACAATCCCATACCTACTAAAACTTCAAAGCCGCAAGAAAAGAAATCAAGTAGATTTATTCTCTGTTGGCATTCAGAAGACTCTCCGATTCGAGGAGAGATCACCGCAGCGGGAAAAACGCCAGTGCATTGTTAACTGACAGAGGAAGTGAGCATAAAAATGTAGGATGTCAGCACCGTTTTCTTGGATAACTGACGATGATGCTCTAACTGTAGAAGAAAGGTTTTGTTTCTTTCGTTGGGAGGCAGAGAAAATTTACAATTGCATAAACGATACGTAGATGACATTTTCCTGGTTTGCGACAGTAGTTACGACCAAAATCAGTTGCTAAAAATATTCAGCAGCCGCCATCCGGCCATAAAATTCATTCTAGAAATGGAATGTGAATCCGAAATTCCCTTTCTTGATGTGCGACTAAGAAGATGGCCTGACGGAACTTTAAGAAAGTCAATTCATAAAAAGGTCCACCTGGAACCATCAACTAACAAATTTCTTGAGTTGGGCACCTACTTAGAGGAAACGAAATCTGATTAAATCCCTTGCCCCTCGGATCCGATGCATCTGCAATCATGACGCCTTAGAAGCAGGACTGGATCTTCTGAAAGAAACCTTCGTCCAAAATGGATACCCACCAAGATTCTTCGACAAGAATAGCAAACCAAAGGTCCAGAGGAACGAAATATCACTTGTTTCAAAAGAGATGCTTCAAATGAATCTCGATTTCAAGGGAGACTTAGCTTGTGATATCCTCAAGAGAATTTCAGCATCTTTCAAAAGAACATTCTTCGCAGCAATGCTAAGAGTAGGGTTCTCCAGTTGCAAAAGCCTTAAGGGTAAGATGCCACTTCTATGTGCATATATCAGTTTACCTGTTGTTGTGGAAACAGGTACATTGGTCGTTCGACGCGTATCCTGTTCAAAAGGATTCAAGAACACTATCCTGCATGGCTGCAAAAAGGCAACAGTGGCTGTATAAGGAGTGCGATAATCGGAAATTTCGTCAACACAGGCCATTCCACCTCAACAAACGCCTCTTTCACTTACCTACAAAGTGAAGGACAACCCACCAAAGTCAATAAGGTTTCGTTTCCTTTGTATTGCTGATGTCTTAGTTATTCAGCTGGAGAAATCAGAATTATGTATACAGAAGAAAATCATCCAACCACTTCTAGTACCACGGTAACAACCATGTTGACTTCTAGTGACTTGATGTTTGTTTTTTCTCCAACTCCTTATAACACTCGTAATTTTTAGAACTGCAACATAATCCCGTATTTTCCTTTCTTTCTGTGTATCCTGATCACAACTCACTCATTGAACTATTCATCTTATTATGTAACCGTATTACGCTTATTCAACTTCTTTTATGTGTTAATAAATGTTTCTTAACGACACATAACCACTACTCTATTACCAACCTTCACCCCCTGCCCAAGTTACAGTTGGATTACTCATCACATGCTTGATATCGCCTGACAACAGTAACCCCAACTTATTTTTATTGTGATTGGACAGAACTAATGTATACATAAATACAAAGATAATTATATATAATTGCGATTGCATAACTAAGTGAATAAAATCGCCGAAAAGAGACTCTTCGATGAACTAGCTGTTTTGATTTCATTATTGTCCGGATGGAGTTTATTCATGAATTAGAAGACTTCATCTTAATCTGAAGAAAGTTGAGATGCAGACTACTAGAGACAAGAATGATGATAAGAGTACCAGGAGTAGGCTCAGATCATTATCTACTGCAGTGGCTTTGAAGATCACGTTGATTGCCTTCAGAGAAGATGGAAATGGACCACAACTGAAATCCAACACTCAGAAACGCAAAACTGGAAGGTACCCGGCGGTTGGATTGAACACACCGAATTGCAACAGTAAACATCAATAGAGCCTTTAATGGCTCTATCCAATTTCTACCTCAGGTCCACCGGCCTCGAAAATATCTTCGACAGAGTCGACAATAAAGTTATTCGGAAGTGCTTCAACACCACGGAGTGTAGTTCCTCCAACATTTATTGAGCTCATTCAACAGCCATATGATTGTGACATGCGAAGTGATTCACAAATGAGGACTGACGGATGCGTTTGAAGTGAAGACGAGAGTAATAAAAGGCTGATTAATATCAACAATGATCTTCTTGATTGTGGTGGGCTGTGAGGAGTGAGAGGACTTGCAAACGTCGTACTGAGTAAGTGACACTTGAAGACCCTTGATTTTACAAATGATTTACATCATATATCGCAAACTGGAATATATACATGCAGAAACCGAGAGATTGTCAAATGTAATGTGGATGACAGAACCTCGGGCAACAATAGAGAAGACGGAGGTGGAGAGAGTGACATTGACGAACACCAATTATCGTCAGTGGAAGAAATCTAAGGGTATTCAACTCCACTTGTGAGAGCAATATTGTTCCGATAAAAGGATTTAGCGATTAGGACCTCAAAAGGAGCCCGGTTCCAGTCAGTACGGACAGTATGACAGTTACTGATTAATCTGGAATCAGTGAGGAGATTCACTGCACTCAGCAGATGGAATAAGATTCGAACTTTTTACATTGATGTCGAGTCAATCATTGCTTCTATATTGGTTCATAGACTTGATGTCCTCGTCACGGGAACAATTTCCAACAGGCTGCTATGCACTTTCATCAACACCTGCCTTCCCTCGATGATACTGGTGGTCGGTCAGGTGGGATAAGCAACAAGAAACTGACAAGTAGTGAACCAGCAAAGAATCTATTGACCAACAAATATGCAGAGGGAAGTGGAAATGGATCGGACACAGGATGAGAAGAGCGTTGGATGAAATTACATGCCTAGCCATCGACTGAAACTCAACCGGGAAGGGATGAATTGGTCGTTGAAGTATGACAGGGAGACCACGTATAGATGTAGGTTTGTAAGTGATCCTGAAGCCGCGTGAGACTGATCGGAGGAAGTTTGTGTAATTCTCAGTCGTATTCCCTTCTGAGGGTTGGATAGTGGAAATAATAAGTTGTATGACGCTGGTGATTTTTTATGTGTCCGCACACCATCCTGAACAATTTCTTATCAAGCGATACTCAATGAAATATATTACATTCAGGTCAGCACATAAAGCAAGTTTCCGGTTCCTTTGAGTTTAGGTTTTAAGGGCTTACGATAAATGCTTGGGATAGGACCACTTTTTCGGGACTAGTTTGTTCCCTTTAATTAGGTATTAAAATAGCCGATTAAAATGACTATGTCTGATCGTTTTGCTTTTAGGAGTCTACAGCACGTAATCACATCAATGTTTCAGATTTATTTTATTATTCCACAAACGTCTCACCGTAAAATGAGTAAATGAATATATGTATTAGTAACATTCGATTTATATGGAAATCTGAAATGTACTTGGTACTATCCCTATATCTACATTCTGAAACGGTGATTATGTAATGACGGAACCACTGGCAGTAAAGAATAAGCATGTTATTTGTTCCAAAAGAATTTTAAGTAAGTAGTTACTAGATACCTTCTGTTCTAACTGGTACATGAATACAATTAGCTTAGTAAAAATAACGGCATATTTGATCTAATACTTTGTTTCAGAATGTCATAAAACATGAGGGACTGAGTAGTAATGCCACTAGTATAAGAAAATAACAATGCCAGCATGAATGACATGAATGTGATATATTTGATAGGCGACTCACTACCCTTTTTCTTAATATATATTCAGATTTCTAGTAGGCTATAAGCTCAAAAACAATCAGATTTTATCTCATACGTGGACAGCCACTAAATAAGCACACGACACTTGTCTACGAATTAAGTCACAATAAAACAACAGTGCAACGACAACCAGTGGTGTAATGAATTTCTTATTTCCATATAAAACTCATTAAATCTAAGGCCATTTAGAAGGGAGAAACTCTATAAGAAAAGTGATATGGAGTACCATCTATCCTAGCATTATAACATAGCACTAAAGCCTATACGTTATAGACAATCGATTCGTTAGTAGGCTTGCCAATAAAAGTGATACCTGTCTACTGTAAACATGTATTTTCCCAGACATGAAAAATGCGTACAATTAGCACCAGAGTAGTTTTATCAAATAAAAAATAAAAGGAATACATATAAAAACTAAACGATATCAATCAGGCTGTGATGCCCTGGCAGTATACAAACTCGAATCCTTACAAAAATATAGATGACAATATAGATATAGAACAGAGACAAAAATTAATCAATCTTTTCATCACTGAGGAAGTTGGAAAGGAGCTGAGGATCGCACAAAAACAACCACGATTCCATCTCCACAGAAAGACACAAGGTCCAAAGATTGGATGAACTGAATTGATGTTTTACAGTGAATGAAAAAATGATAGTAGAGATTAAAGTAAAGAACTGTTTATAATCGTTGATGAATTCACTAATAATTGGTAATTGTAACATCTATCACAAGCAGGAAGTGATGAGGGGAAAAATAGGACTAATTTAAATGCAATTATGAAATCAATTTAAATAGCTAAAAGATATTTAGGAAATACAATACATATAAGCTGAAGCGAAATACGTTAGAGGATTCGATAAGGAAAGGAAATGCTAAGATGATTACTGAAAACCGGAAAGACAAGTCATCTCCGAAAGACTCATAAAGCTAAAAATGCAGTAAACTGTTAACCATCAGTGGCAAAATATTTGTAGTAATCCGGCAATACAAAAGAAGTTTAAGCAAACACAAAATAGTACACTTATTTAGACAAAAAAGCAAGATTGGAAAGTTCGCAGAAATACCGGTCTAAGGAAGACTAGTAAGCTAGATTATGTTTCAAAGTCATTATATTAAAACAACCTGGCCACTCGTCCTCCTCTAATATGAAATCAGCTCGAATTTTGTCCGTATAAAAAAGAGTGTAGAAAATTGACATCTGGTGACACGACCTGATCTCCACCGAAGTTTGTGAGAGTTGGTTCTTCCCAAACCTAGATAGTTAAAAATATTATATTAAAAAACTCACTTCACCAATTTTTGATACACTTGCTTCGCAGTCATCTAGAGCATTCAGTTCTAACTCTGATATAGAGGTTGTGCTTAAGCTAGAAATCGAAGGTGCCTGTATTTTCTCTTCATGTCTCTCAACATGTCGTAGCAGGTAAGAACGAGAAGCATATTTCCGAGAACAGTAGCAACAAGTTAAGAGGCTTGGGTCAGTGTGTAACAACATGTGAGTTTTCAATAAATTTGCACGCGTAAAACTACGAGAACACAAAGAACATTGGTATGGTGAACACTTAGAATGGATGACACTGTGACGCTGTAGTTCGCTTTGATGGGCAAAGGTCCTTTTACAAACTTTGCATGATAACAACTCTGAATAAATTGGAGAATAAGGAAAAATTGACATACTCTTAGGACTATTCTTGCAATGCTGCAGTCGATGTTGCTGAAGGCTGACAATAAACATAAACCCCCGACCACATGTTTTACACACAAAAGGTTTAGGTGCTTCATCCAGTTCAATGTAAGCATGATGAGAGTCTAAATGTAGCTTCAAGTGGTTTTTCTGAGCGAAATTAGCAGAGCAAATGTGACAAGTGTATGGAAAATGATCTGCAAATAGGAAAGGAATAAAACTAACAAACTTGCCTTGGTGTAATCTTTTATGTACAGCTAACGCATTGGCAGATGAAAAGTTTTTTCTACATATTTCGCAGCTTGGACGTTCAAGTGGCTTATGACACCGAGAGATGTGGCGCTGCAAGTAAGACGGCAATGCGAATGTTGCACGACAATAAGGACACGAATGGCTTCCTTTGCATACCAACACATGAGGGTCTATCGCATCCGATGTGAAAATCTGCTGGCAAATTTTGCACACGGCAACCAGACGCTCGTTATGTTTTGCGGTTAAATGACCGATTAATGCAGCATGAGATGTTGAGGAAAACGGACAAACAGGACACTTATGATGTTGAAGCACTGCTTCGGAGTGCTGCTCTGAAAATACGGTACTGCTACCATCCATTGCTTCTCTGAGTGTGACCACAAGTGAAAGACCAGGAACTGATTCACAGCCACAGAAGTCTTCTAACTCGTCTAAAATCAAAAAGGTTTATGCGAATGCACAAGATCGCAACCAATTATTAGGACAAATTTAGAATTCGCAGGTCGTATTCCACCTCGAACTGCCGCTGGCTGGCGGCAAATTGAAAAGAAGAGGGAAGTTATGTTTTCACTAAGCCAGTGGTGCGCACTCTAGACGGACTACTTTAACCAGGGCGACCACACCTTAAGGCCAGTTTCGATGACAGATTGAAACTGGTCAGAAAACCGTTGTCTCAGCATCTGAGTAATTTAACCACAAAGACTGCTGTCAAAAATAATTCAACTAGTACAACAGTTAGTTGATTTAGATGTAAGTAAACTGCAAACGTCTTCCAAAAAAACATCCACTTCTTACTAAAAACTTACATAAAACGTCTTTTTAATTTAGTAACATCACTACAGAAAATTTCCATTGTAAACTGATCGTATCACCAAAAAATCCACAGTTGTGGGGAATCTAATTCACATTTTTGATACAGTCTACCCGCTAATGACTCCAAAAATGAGAGCGCTTTGCGCTGCCTCGCTGTGCAACATCTCGAAAAAGACAGGAATAGAAAGACCATAATAAGCAACGACATGAATAGAGGCGGAATGCGCAAATCATTAATAAACCTAAAATTAGGAGCATCTCAACAATTCCATTTACTTTTAATACCTGCATAATTGCCACCTGGTTTATGGTTTCCTGTAAAAAAAATCCCAGCTTGATATATTCATATATATATATATATGCAATTAAAACCCCCCAATATAAAATACAAGCTCATATCATGCTGATAGGATCATTGTTCTCTTTTTGACCATGATTATATATGAGTTGTATGCAGTTTCAAAGATGCACTACCACCTCGTGTTGATAAACGTACATAATACGCAAAAGAACCAAAGTGAAAAGCCGCTGCAAATGAGACATAATAAGCTACCATTATGTGTGCTAATCCATTAAGATGCAGTAAACAGTAACAAAAACCTAGACACAAACTTATAAGTATACCTAATTCAGTAATAGTACAGAAGGCGCCATATGCGAACACAGGAATGCGAAATTCAGGCACAGAAATTTACTAGAAAAGGCAAATCTGAATCTGAACTTAACACGACCATTTGAAGCACACACCCAAACTTGATTGAATGTCTAGTAATGACTTATTATATGTTAGTTTATCATGTTTACGCCTGGGACCTAACAAGTGTTACACATCGAAGTAGAAACTCGGTAGTTTACTGCGCATTTCTATTTGACTCTGCTAGTTTGAATCCGCCTTTATTCAACTGAAATTGCATCAGCCTGACAGGTATGCAATTATCACGAAAACTGAAACACCATGAGGATAGCATGTTAAAAATCATTTAGTGGACAGAACAGAATGAAGCATGGTCAAATCAAATGCGAACCTACACATAATCAGATTTAAAACAATACATCCCTCAAAATCGTAACGTGATCTACAATGTAGATACCATTTGCATCTCCGAATTCAAAAGGGCGATCAGTTTCAAGCCTCAGTAGCCTTCCAGTGCTAACCAATGATATCAAGATATGCCTTTAGGCACGTCATACGAGCTAGCATTCATGTTGGCATACAACTGGAAATCATGATTCCTAAGTATAAGTGAGCATAATATAATAAAAAACTCAACGTGAAAACATGAATACTTAAATGATGACTCCTATTATACACATGTATGACAACCTGAATTCATTACTATCGTAACAGAGTATCATAACAATCCGAAAAATTAATTTCTCCAACACTACATTATTTAAGAACTGCATCTTTTGTCGAAAATGTCCCGAAAAGACCATCTATGGTCTACGTAATGACGGATGCTCAAGAAATAACTTAGGTCAGAAAATTCAGCGGGTAGAAAGTGTCATTCACCCTGCAATACATGTTGGTTGCTAGACATGCTACAATCGATAGAAATTTACTGCAAGCGCATATGATGATTTAAAGTACCAACAAGTTGTAAAAAGTTGCTCATTCAACGTACATAAACCTCACGAACCAACAAGGGATTGTCAGAAAATGTCCGCCATGTTGCAGACTTTAGTATTGCGCGGAGACCTTGGCTCGCTGAAGCAGTTTAACAAATTACAAACTGCAGGTTCAAGGTTAAACATAAAGGTACCTAATATTTACATAACAACTATACGTGCCTTTCAAGTGCCTTTATTACACCAAAACTTTAAACCATCATAAGGCGAGCATACATGCTTGCTCGGATGCGAACTTCGAAGAGCCTATATTGAAAACCACTTATTGAAAAACGCATTTTGCATCGATTAATCTGTGCATCCAGGAGCTAAAGTGTAGCAAGCCACATGTATTCACAAAGTGTTCACCACCTACACGTTAACTTGCAGCCAAATGGTGATAACTGATATATGTGCCCAATTTGAAAGTAAGTGGGACAGATAACAATTTTGCCAATTTACCGTGTGTTTAGGAATTGTCCACATTGAACTGCTGAAACCAGAGTTAATAGACCCACCGATAAGAAACAGTTATGAAGGTGAAAATTTTGGGTATTTGAAGTGCAGATTATTATAAATATATTGTGAGGTGAACTAGCTGCGGCAAAACTAACAAAGAATGTTTAACTTTCGACATGGGGGTATGAGCAACCATTAACCCAGGGAAAGCAATAATTCCTTATGGAGAAAACGAAAATGCCATCTTTAAAGTAACAGCATGTCCTGTTTCACTGACTTCATTGATTTAGCTTGACAGCCTATACCTGGGTAGGGCAAATGTCAATGTAGTTGAAGGATGAACGATCAATCTATGGTTGTTTACTCAAAACCAACTCCAAGTATATTGGTGGTACTACATTGATCGTTCCATCGTACGCTGTTCGTTAGAAGTCGGAGAAATACTATCAGAGATATTATTGTGATTAATTGTTATGACATTCATTCCTAGACTTTGTGTATAATAACCTTATGGTTGGTTCCATGTTGGTGCAATTATAAAGGATTCTCGAGTCCCCAATCTGTGTTCTGTTTTTCCCGTTGGTTATTGCACATTTTTGCTGAAGGTCTTTTAAGGACAGCGTTAAGTCCAGTGTAGTTAGACCTGGACAATGACGGTTTCTGATAGCTCCTGGAATTATTCGCTGTTTGTTGGCAATTCGTCTTTCCTCGTGTCTGCAAGTTTTCTTTAGACGAGTGTCATTTGGAACTTTCCTGGATCGTTTGGTAACGTTCAGTAATGCCTGGGCCAAAGAAAGAAAGAAGCGTTTTGGAAGCAGACAGAAAAGTAAGTAATGATGAGTTGCCTGTTATTTGTAATGATGTGTATGATGCTCAGCATGATAAGATTGGTGTTCATGTTTAGGGGTTTTAAACTTCCAAAATTTGAACCCCGGTATTCTGACGGAAAGTCAGCCGACCATCCACAGTTTTTAGAGGAGTCTGAGGGCGTGTTGAGTGGTTTTGTAATAAATGACGAAATGAAGTTGATATATTCATTGGGGTATTGCACTGGTGTTGTTGCAAGAGCTATACAGTGCTGCAAGGATAGAGGGTGGCGCATGTTGATCAGCAGATATGGTAGTGGTCACAAATGTGAATCGCTCCAATCTGTTGGAAAGCAACATGAATTTTTTGACAGCTCGAGAATTAAGCATTAGTCTGGACCCTCAACAAAAAAATAATAATGATTGTACAGATCCAAATTTTAAATAAAATAGTACTTTTGCTCCTACCATCTACAAGCTTGTTCAGCTTCTTGTCAAGATAATATCCATTGCCCTTGAAGAAATTCGTGAGACATCTCACAGGTCAGCTTGTCCCACGGTTTCTAATTTTCCAGATCTTTGAATTCACTACTCACTTAGATATCACTTACCTACCTCATGATGATCTGTTTATTTGCGCACTACTACACTCTACTTTATCTTAACTACCTAGTCAGTTATTAAAGTTAAAACTTGCTCTTTGTTCATATTTGTTGCTTGCCCAAAGTCTGGTTGCTTTGATTAAAACCACAACAACACCAATGTTTGAACAAAGCTATATCTCCATCGAAAACGTCATAGTTTCCATGCTTAGACCAATGTGGTCAGCTTTGAACATTGCAAATGTATACTATCATTTCAAGTACTATATAGCTTCTTATTCTTGTATTTATCTTGTAAATATACTTCCAATAGTGTGTTATTCATAATTGCATTTTATACCATTTTGCAGCTGCTCAGAATTTTCTTCCTTTCCTGAAATAGCGTTCAATCGCTTGGCGGCACTGCACTCACCCAGATACACGCTGTTCACTGGTTGACCATAACTATCAGCAGGAAACGGAATGAAGTTTGGGTTGTCGCTCAACTTTGATGATGACCTTAATAAACGGTTTACAATTTAACACTTATAAGAACCTGTTCTGACTGCATGTACAATAACTGAACAATTTAAACTTTTGAAAAAGTATTAATTTATGATACTTCAGGATTGTAATTTATATCATAACTGATCGTGCCCGTAAAAATGGCATGCATTTCTTGTAAACCCACCCGTTTACACGAAATATAAATTATTGTAAGTTTATGCCCCCAAGCAAAAGATACACTGAGGCCATGAGAATGTTGCGCCAAAGGTTTGGGAGGCTATTTATGATGTCCAGGAGTGTTTTGAGACAGTTAAGGGTAATGGTACGTAGTTAAACGATGGTTCCGAGGAACTCACAGAGTTTTTGGAAAATTTAATTGTGTACAGAAATACTCTCGTTTCTCTTACTTGCGTGGATGAATTGAACTTGAGTTCTGTGCTTGAGGCAATTGCTAAGAGATTGCCCGCTCGCTTACAAAGAAAGTTTATAAAAATCAGCTCCCGTTTAGAAGAGTGGGGTTTAGAGCCAGGGTTCGACGATATACTGAGATTAGTGGCAGATAATGTTCATGAGACTATGAGTAAATTCACCAGTATATTGCATCCGGCTGCTGAAACTGAGAGGTCAGCGAGAAAGACAAAGTTATTTGTGACGAGAGGTTCTCAAAGCATTGGACGTTCAGGAAAGTGTGTTATCTGTGGCGACGTACACATGCTTAGTGAGTGTGCTTGTTTCCTTCAAATGTCTCCGATAGAAAAGTTACAAATTGTGAAAAGGAAACGGTTATGCTTCTGCTGTTTAAAGGACTGGCACACAAGGCTTAACTGTGAGACAGCTGAGAATGGTGGTAGTGGTTCATTAGGATTATATCAGCTGTTGACAGTATCGAAGAATCAGGGGAGTTCGATTAATTGTAATAGCAGTTTTGCACCGCACGACTTCCTGAAGGTCTTCTAAGGACAGTGTTAAGTCCAGTGTAGTTAGACCCGGACACTGACAGCAAGAAGCACGATACACAACGGCTATTTGTCCACGATTCCCCTAGGTAGAATTTACTTTCAAATAGCTACGCAGCTATAGGTAATGTGCCATGGCATTACGCTGTGTGTGCGAGGGGGTTTGCTGAAATATATGATGCAGTGCATAACTGTTTAAAAAGTAGTCCTTGCGTATTTTAATAGGCAGACTTATTTGTAAAGAAGTATATGAAGGTAAACTTTAGGAAAGCGGTCGTGTTATTTCGCGGCCACTTACTGCCCTCTACAACAGGAAAAATTAAATAGGGGATATTTTTGCTTAAAATTAGGGGACAAAATTATAGTCGCTAAATTTGCCCAGTGAGCTGGCAGATGAATAAATATTAGCACAATGAACTTATCAAGTTCGGTAAACAGGTGTTATCTATATCCACTGCGCTTACATGTTGTATCCACTAACGACTAATGTATATCACCTTCGCGTTGACGTCTGCAGTATCTAGCAGATATTCATTGTCGCGTATACTACAACTTCAATGGGTTTTACCGACACACATTACATTCACGATTAAATCAAGAAAAATATAATGTGCCGGATAAAATGGCGCCATTAGACTTAGTTGGCTCTTTTAAACTGTAAATATCCACAAACAATTTAATATTAATATAGCGAATATTCAAGTACCGTTGTAAATAAACCAGCTTCAAAGACTCTCAGCCCACGGATCCTGAGGCTAGTGCTGTTGCCGGAAGACCAACTCAGAATACTATGAACTGCGACCGAATCGAAAATATCGGAAGACAGTTGGTAATTCGATGACTGTTTATTATTCTATTGGCAATAAACCGGTGTTATAGGACAGTTGCTGCACAACTATTTACAGTACCAGAGGATACAGCTTCAAAACGTTGAGAGTTCAAATGTCGCAGCTTCAAATTCCATAAAAAGGCATCATCGTGAATTATGGTTCACGACAATGCTTCTGTTCATATTGCTTCAGTCTTCTACTGAACCATAAGCAACTAGAACACAGTGGGGATTGTAACCTACAACAGATATGAAACCATTCTGTATATGCTAGGTCACTGGACGTTCATACGATATTAACAACCCTGATGACAGCACTTATTGGCCATTCAGTTGATGGATGTAACCTAAAAGAGACGGAGTATTAATCTGAATAGTCAGATAACATAAGCAATCCCAGCGAATTTTTTCAGGCATATCCAAGGCAGACTTAGTAAGGTAACACCATGGATAGTGTCGGTTCTGAAGGAAAATCACTTAGTGTGGATTTAACTCAAAATTCTGACAGGTAACAGGAAAGTCAGTGGATGACGGAAACCCACTGATTTACACTATTTGAAGGCCAGTGGGATGGCTTAATAGTTGGCAGAAATAATGTTTGTTGCCTAAGTAAACTCGCCTATCCCGATAGAACCTAATGATATTAACATGACTCGCTGACTTGTAAGCCAGACCCGGAGAAACTTGTAGTCCTGACCACAGATAACACTTTCCAGTCCATTACCAGAGCGGTTTACAATTATGCCTTTCGAACAATGCATTTGGGGAGACAGAAGAATAAACAGTCATTGGGAGATATATATCCAAAACTCTGCAAACGTTACACTCTTCTCTCTTTGGAATTTAATTTTCCTCGATCTCTTACACTGTAAGACCTCATCGGCAAATTTAAAAACAAATCTCTGGAAGGAGATGTGCAAGGACGCATGAATTTCTTGGAATTCATTCACTTCCCCTTGTCCTCAGAGAAACTTCGCGGCACATGCGAACAACTGGGGTGATAGTTTCATTCTTTTCTGAAGGAAAGTGAGATTGGTTCAGATCACGAGATCGCAAACTAAGCACGGCCTTCTCCTCACACTGTCTCTTCATGGTTTTTTTTCAAAAATTTCAGCATATATCTCGAACTCTTAGAGGCTTCTGAACAAGTTTCACAAGTCTTCTTGATACTGAGTTTAGTTTCAGTTTCTAACTTACTGCCAGAAAAGGCCGAAATAATGAAGCGAGGAAATATACTTATTATTATCGGTATTTTTCAATTTCAGGCTGCTTGGTTGCAAAAAAGCGAATTCCTCTGCGAATGAACCATTGTTTTGGCAAACATGTGGGGGAAACTTGTTTGATTCGCCGGCTAACTTAATGGGCTATAATCCCAAAAGATTAACGAGGTTGCCAATCTTTTTCACTTCTTTTAATCCACTATGTCAATTAATCAGAATGAGCATGTTCTTATTCAGGAGTGAGGATAAAGGCTATAGCTATGTATTTTCACGCATAGTATGGATTTATCGCGTTCAAGCCTACTGAGGCGTTAACAGCGTTTATTTGTGTGATAATGGAGTATATTTAATTATTTTTAGTATTCTGCAGTTGAAAAGTGCGATATTTTCCTGTTTTATGCTCGCATTGATGCGTAAAACTGTCTTGATATCCCAGACGAATTGTTACGAAGAAAGGCATGCACTTAAAGCAATTATGCACACCAATGACCTTCATTTGTTTGGGAGCTTTAAAAGTTTAACACTTGCCAGTGGTTTTTAGATTTTCAGGTTGTTTATTGACTACAAGCACTGGCTAATATCATAGCAGTTATTCCCTAAGATTCAGACTTTTGATAGAGAACTAGCGCGCATACATAAGTTAGATATATGTACTGAGGCGACCGAGCATTATATTTCACCCATGGTGAATGAAGTCCTTCCCTTTACAAACAATATATATATAAGTAGCTAAATAGTTTTCACTAAAGTTAAGGGACTTCGAAATTTATAGTTGGTCGATATCTAGTAGGTCCATCGAAGCATCATGAAATGATAAAATTACTTAACGACAAGTTATGCAGTAGTTACCAAAGCTTGTACAAAGATTTTAATAAAAACGAAAACGCTTTATGACGAATAATAAGAGGCTTGACAGCAATAATAATAACGTTCATGTTCATAGTGACCGTAAAAACAATAAGAGGTATTATTATTACAACGAATTCAACATTAATTTAGATAGATGGCTACTAATAATACAATCATATCGATTAAATGTATCACTTAACCTTACGAAGCAGGTGTTTACTTACTTTCACTGTATTCTCGTAATACTGATGTGGTTAACTACCCTATTCCAAACGAACTCCAGATTAATTCTGAAAGTGAATGGAGATCCAGTTTGTGTCAAATAAAAACATGTGGCCTACATGTATTACACTTCTTTCTGAAACGTTTCGTACTTGCTTTCCGATCTTCGTGACAAGAATACAGTATATGTAGGAATACCTGCATATATATAAGTACACGTCTATGCTGCATCAACCATGCCGTTTTTATCATGATTAACCAGACCGCTGTGTATTTCATACTAATTTATGGATCTCTGAAAATAATAGTCAAATGATAATAGAAGTTGCACTAAGATGCCACCTCTTCGGAACACTGGATGCATTCTTGACACTCCTGAGAAGTCCCTAGACTCTAATATTGGATGAATTCATTTAATTGAGCAAATAAATCCTCTGGTATATCATTTCTATCCTGAGCTGTAGTAGTATGTGTTGTCAGTTATGCGACCGGTTTGATAAAACGCTTCTGGAAATTGCGAACTTAACCAACTGGCTAAATGATATTTGAAATTACGGCAACTTGAATGACAAACTGGTCATTCACAAGCGAGTAAATCACTTGTTTATCTCACTCACGGGCACACGAAATTACGGCCGTCGACAGGCTGCCTTTATTCTCACCCCTTACTAAGGGCGATAAATGATGAGCTAACCTGCATCAGTAGACATGAATTGGAAAATTTTATTATTTATCTTGGTTCTTATGCCGCAGTTAGCTGAATGAATTGTTGCCAAGACTAGCAAAATGATAAAAATTCAGATTCATAAACAATTCAAATATGGCCTTCACTATTTCTCAGTATTGATGGATGTTTTCTCATCTAAATGCACAAAATACTGAAGTAATGCACTCCAGCATTTGGTTTGGTGGAACGAGTTGTTTGCATCGTGAATATGGTGTGCATTTGTGGTGTGTATATTTCTGGGAGGTAGAAACAAGTGTTGATGACTCCAAAACCACCCAACATTAACTGCAATCATTCTCCTCCTACTGTCTTCATCGCCGCCCGTAATTATCAACTCCTGCTTCTGTTTTCGTCTCGAACAACTGTTTGTGCTTTTTGTCCGATCAATTTCTAGTGTTGTCTTATCCATCAAGTTGATGGATTGGTGACTGGCGACGTAAATGCTGAACAAGCAGCAAAAAAACTGCCTATCGTAATCAAGCGTGGCTTAATACAGAATATTGAGTTTAAAGGTTCCGGATGCCTTAAAAATCTCTTTACAGCAAAAAATACGTGTACACCATCATTGGACATTGAATTGTTTCGATCGAAATCCAAAGCTGCGACCTCAATGTCGCTACAATGGATGGCTTCGAGAAACCGCAGTCCTACACTAATTGGACAACAACTCAGGTCATATCTTGGCTCTCTGGTATGCTCACAATTCCTTTTACTTTTGGTTCTTAGGTCTGGATGATGCTCTAGAACCGTATCTGTCATCCTTTAGTTCGAAAAATATAAGTGGCAAATGGTTAAGTTCACTAACAGCTGATGTTTTGGGGAAGTATGGAGTTCAAAAGATTGGCCATCAAATGATTATCATGGAGAAGGTCAGACAACTTCAATACCAATTTTCATCATTTGATAATGAAACATTACAATCAATTTTATTACGTGTCTCACGTTCCTGTGTTTGCATCGTCAGTGCCATAAACTCTCTCATGGCTATAACTAAAAGACAAGATGCGGACAGTCCTTATCCAGGGATACTTTCAGATATTCAAGGAGCTGTATCTTACGTCCTTAACTGTATACTGAACTTGATGTCTACAATAGGTAATGCTGCATCTTGGCTAGAACGGTTAGTTTGTATGCTTCACATCTATTTTTTAATAGACCTCCTTTTTCTCTTCTACCTGACATGATGGTTTTCCGACAGTTCCTTGTTGAAAACGCCATAATCACTAACAGATTGGCTCAACAGGCCATTACCACTCAATGTAATGAACATTTTAAGGAAATAATAGACTATGTAGGTTTTGAAATCACATTGAAATAATTTTAAGATTGAACCTATGAGGAGTCGTGTGGAAGATGTGCTTCAGAACTGCGGAGACTCTATTCTTTTGACACCCTGTGGCTTGGAAGTTGTACAAATACGGAAACTAGACTCAGCTGATTTTGTAAGTCTTTTAAATATGCAGTATTTATATATAACCTTTTTTGGGTTAAATGCCACTGAGTTTATTGGCTGCCGAATGTAAATAATAGATGTTTTACTGAGACGTTTAGAGCTGTGTATCTATTGTGCAGACTTTATTTACTAATGTGTAGTGTCAAAGAATTGCGTTAGCCCTAGTGGTCCTTCCTTTGAAAACAGGATGCAACGTTTTAGATTTTAGATTTTCTGCATGGAATCTTGAGAGTAAAATAGATTCCGTCATCTTATTTTAAAGAATTCCATCTGCTAGCTCTTCAGTGACATGCAGACACGAACAATGTTTCCAGACGTCATCTCTAGATTATTTGTATCTACAACCACTTCGCTATTTTCGCACTCCGAGTTCTTCCTTCGGCGACTGACGTGGAAAGTGGTATTGACACTAGTATTGTTTTCGATAACTCCTTTTTCCTGAGTTATTTTTTTGGTGAGTGTTTTACGGGTTTTCATGCCGGATGCCGGGCGCTCTTCACCGGGTTGACTGTCCATTGGATGACAGTGTAGGGGAGATGGCTAAACCCTGATTCCAAACCTCCAACGACTAGCGTATGAAGCTCACTGGAGCTCACCGGCAGACGTATGGACAAAGGGCTTGTTGGATGTCCTGGATGTCTGGCCCCATTCAAAAAGGCGTATGAACCGAACTCCGGTCACCGGTTGCCAATGGATAGTGGACTCCCTACTCCACTCCTACTGCCTTGTAGGTCACACTTGGTTGTGTAAAGGCTAGAGCTGCACTCTCACACAAAAGGCCGAGCGATTCTGGGGACATCACTCGTACCAAATTCCCATGAAACTTCATGAACTCTCTTGATTCGAGATGTTCATGAAGCCGGCTCATCCTCCCGTAGGAGATAGCCGAAGTAAAGTAGAGTAAGTAGTAAGTTTTCATACATGGGAGGTAGGCAGATACCGTGTTATATTGCCTCATTACTCCTAATCATTGCCTTTAAAACAGTGTGCAGTGTCCTTACAACTGAAGTGACATGGTTTTTGGTACGTCATATTTTAGACGACTTTTGATGTGGTCATAAGTTTGTTTTATGGTGTAATCCAGCATATTGATCTTAGTGATTGAGAAGGACTATGTAAATAATATTTTTTTATTGTATACGTCTTAAACCCTGGTTGTTCTTATTAAACATTAGATTTGAAGTTTAAAACTTAGCCATTTGTGACACGTTTTTCACTTACCAGACTGTGAGGGGACTATTGATATCAATCATTCCTCCGGTATGATGTAGATAAAGTGGGGATGCGATTTGGAACCCACTGACTTACAGATAAATGTCCACTAATTTAAAGCCGTGTCATAGTTTCGAAGTACTGAATCCTATCATTTCTTTGATATTGTTCAAACAATTTGTGGTGTTCTACATGACTTAGACCACTAATAAGCAACTTCATGACTTGTTGCCATGTTCTATTTAATCTTTTCTAGAATAATTCTCCGAAAGTTATTGTACGTCCTATAGCCATCCTCTAGATAAAAGAAACAATTCAGAGAGTAGGTGTATATTATTATTTATCTCTCCTGTGAACGTGATTCTTTGTAGGATAAAATTAGTCACCGTTGTTTTCATTTATACTAACATTATCATTTAGTGGATTCTTGTAGTATTTATCTGATTTAGTTCTACTCCAACTAACACCTCTCTTAAAGGACTGTTAGGATTAGCTCACGTGTTTATCGGAAAATCGGGTTATTTAGTCATTTTATTCGTGTGACATTCGTAATAATAATCATACTAATTGAAGGAGACAAATGCATAGACCCCTCATTTTAAAGTTGTAGTCTTTGAGATTGTTTCACGTTTTCATTCCAGGGTTTTAACTTCCGATCCACAATCAACAATGTCCATGTAATAGTCTCTGTTCAGGATGAGGTAAGCAAATCTATATCTGTTACGCTTAGTTCTTTGTATTTGGTAGTTATAGGGACTTTCAACCAGTCTTCTGGTTGCATTCATAATTTTTATTTCATCTAGTTTTTTGTAGAACATAAATACACTTAATATCTGCATTGAACACTTTCACGTAGAACAAGGAGTGACTGAAGGAGATACCTGCTGTGATTTTTGATTCTGAAAGCCCTGTATCTAAAAAAGTTCATTTATAGCCTTCGGTGAGTTGTTCCTCGACGTGTCTGTATCAAATGGTGTAGGTATGTCTATCCATATTCCTGCCTCCTTATCTGACTTTAAATGAAAGGACCTGTTCACAGAACTTTTTTAGTTTACCATTGCCTCACTGTCTGTCGCACTTTGTTTTTAGTCAATACGTATCAAGTTCAAATCCAACCCCACCTGCTTCAGCCTGATCTGCTTGTCATTATCTGCACCACATAATCAGTATGGTTCACAGACTAATAAATGAAAACTTTTCCGGGTGATGGAGTGAGAGCTATTAGTTTACTTAAGTATGGTCAAGTTAAGCCGTTATCTAGACACTGAATGTTAGCTCTGAGATGTTGTATCAATGCATTTGATCAATTCAGTCTACTCTTATAAAGGGAAATAGGAAAGAAGTAAACGGGTTAATATAGAATTTCACGGAGGGCATCAACTCAACCTAATACACTTCGAAGCTTTAAATTCGAGATAAAGGAATGCACAGAAATACGAATAATGTAGACAAGCATATGAGACATGACAGAATAATAAAATTAAGATTAGCGAGAATGTTAGGAATTCCAAGCATGATGAGGAATGAGTACATCATTATGAAAGACTGATATCATCAAGGGTCTTTAACAATTGACTCTCGTGTATAATCTATTCAGGTAATCTATATTTTTGTACATGACTTAGATCCCTAGTGAGCAACTCTACGGTTTGTTGCAATATTGTGATGTTTTATTAGTACTGAGTAATTTTCTGGATTATCAATCCGCTTATTGTTCCTACAGTCGTTTTTTTCTTAACGTAATAAGTAGTACTTAATATTGATTTGCTTTTATTTATGTATTTCCATTATATGTTTTCGGTATATATCTAAGTATTTGTATTACAAATGAATTATGAGTATTCATCACTGCAGTTAATACAACAGAAGTCGAATGCACTATTTGTGATTTCAGATTCCAAGTAAGTTTCATTTCACATCGACAGTGATCTGTATTGGGTACTCATAGAAAATGTCGCTTTAGTTTACCTCTTTACCAGATACTTTGTAGTTGGATTCTTATTTATTCTTATTTATCTTGCATTTTGTTTAAGTCTCCAGCGTTCTGTACGGGAAAAGTTAATAAAGGCGACGAAGTAATTGAGGTCAATGAACAAATAGTTGTAAGTTTTTGGACTATACTTGGAAAATATTGGTTAGAATTTGTAACTAAATTGATTCAGTTTATCATTTTGCATATTATTGACAGCCTTATGTAATGTAATATTTCAGTATTTCTTTAGGAGATCGGTAAGGTTTGCACATTCGATTATCAGATGAATGTATATGGAAACTTTTCAGTCTGGTGAGAAAGACTTATGGAACGACTACAAAGCTACAAAGGCATCGGTGGCACAGCGGTTAGGACGCTCGCACATGATCCGGGGTCCGATCCCTGGCCGAAGCACTCCTTTACCTCGCTAAGCCAGTAATAAAAAAGCTGGTAAAGAGGAAAGGTTGGGCATAAGGCTGTCAAACTTATCCTGTAAAAATAAACACTGCTACAGAAACTTTAAGTCTCTGGCTTGAAGCCCTATGTTCCACTGGGGACGTGAAGGAATAAAAAAACAAAGCTCTAACTAATCAGTGCTAAAGTGCGAAGACATTTTTGTGTGGTTCCTAATAGTTTAACTTGCAACACGTTACTTTCTTCGTAATGTGTGATTTCTCGGACCTTAAAACTGTTCGCTAAGTTGTCATTCTTGGTGTGTTAAATGCGCTTATTGTGTAATTTGTTAGGTTGTGACACTATGAAATAGTGACGTAACTTTTATTACTTATAGTCGCTTTCACAATTTACTTATATTTACTTCAGGTTGATTGTATTTCCAAAGATATTCATTGATAGTTCCTTGTCATGTGACTGAAGTGATTCCTAAATCTTGAGCAGTTTTCTTGTGATGAATATTTTTAGTTATAAGTCTCGAGACCAGTTGTCTACTTTTATATGAAATAAAAGTAATTCTTCTCGTTTAGTTGATTTTACTTTTTTTAATCAATATCACAACATACCTAGCCATTATTAACTCGAGTAGAAATAGCAGTATCGTGCAGGAAGCCGGAAAAATCCATCTTTTGAACCATTGGGAGTTAGCTTTCTCAACCACCACTACCACTTGTTAGGATTCAGTTCTGGTTAATTACATAAGGTCCTCATTTGCTGATTAAGTTTTTGTCTGATTTAGTGGTGAGGAATATTAACATACTAACAATAACTCAGTCAATATGTAGGATAAGAGTCGTACAATCTTCATAATCCCTCTTTTCCTCCTAGTTATGTTTCAGTATTTAAAGGTAATTTAATTATTCCTGTGAGATATTCTTGATATTTTTTGAAAAAAAGTAACCCAACCTTGTATTATTTAAAAATTCCCAGATTGGTTGGCTTCACTATCGCGTTGCTGATTTAATGAGGCATTCTTCACAGCATATCAGTCTGCGCCTACGGAAACGACCCACACATTCCAATGATTTTATTGGCTTTCCTGGAGCTGGTCGGCGTCATCGTTTGATGGTCAATCAGATACCACCTGCTGGGAGTTTGTCTCAAACACGAGGAGCATATATATTTGCACGCAACCCGAAGCGTCGGTTGCCGCTTACTGGCCCACTTTCTACTGAACCCCTTGCTGTTACTCAGGAAATTACTTCTGACCAGACATCTGTTTCTTCACCTACATCAACCTCTCCTCCAGAGTCTCAGTCTATAGTTAGTGCATCTGGATTGTTTTCTTCTTCACCAACTTCATCTTTATCCGTGCATCGAGGTGCGTCTATAAAAATAATGAGTGGTGATTCTTGTAATTTGGATAATTCTGTTCAGATATCATCCAGACAGAATTGTAGCAATGAATCAGTAATGTACAATAACTCAAGACTTATCGCTAGTACACCAAATACTCCGCTAATGGCTTTGAGATCAATGGATTCTACAGGTTCTCATTCTTCATTGTCATTTTCACCACATCTTCCACCTGCATATCCTGGTGTTATGAATTTAGAAAATGGATTGGCTGATTCAAATGTAATCTCATCTGATGTAACCTATCCAAAGTAAGTGGTTTTTGTGTCTGATTTTATCATGAGAATTTTGTTCCTTCATATACACCTCCTTTTCGCCTGATGATGTTAAATAGTTCTTTTTGTGGATAACTTATTTGAAATAGTCCCATATTAGATATGTTTATTTAGTATAACACAGTGATACACTTTTAATAACTGGATGACGTTTCCGGCGCGATTTATTACCCATAATCATATCAGTTTATTCACACCGCTTCATAATTCGCCTTATCTATATTTCCTCTGCCCTTTGTTTATTGGAATTTTCCATATATCCGATATAGGCTTTGTGTGTTCGGTGTTGGTTCGATGAACAAAGATTCAATGACTAAGCTGTCTTTTAAGCGTAGAATCGCGGCGGATATATGTGTAGGACACATTCATTGTCTTAAGATCTGAACTTATCCCTAAGTTCTTCACACATAAACTCAGTAGTAGATGGGATCCAATTTACTTTGTAGTTAGAAAAGGAACAAGGTGAGTTAGTCATGTTAGACAAGGTGGTGGGTTAGATACTAAAATCCATAGAAAACCGACACATTCTAATAAATACTTAGGTCTAGTTAAGTGCTCGTATAATCGAACTAAGAGTCTAATTATCAAGTCAGAAGATTTAAATGGTCAAATCAAACAAATAGGGGGATATTAGTAGTGAATAACTACCCCCTAGAATTTATTCAAAAGTCTATAAAGACCTGTAGGAGAAATAAAAGAAGTAGTGAAAATGATCAAAATAATATAAATAATATGGAATTCAAAGCCTCTTTAGTAGTGTCATATGAAAAAGGAACATCTTAAGAGATCTGGAATTAGGGTGGCATTTAAACCAACCAACTCACTCAGAGACAAAATTTGTCGATGTAATGACCCGATATATCAAATTGATTTTCTATAGTTGGTTTGTAAGGATTAGTTTTTTTTTACGAGTTGATCACGGATGGATATCAGTTAGAGAACCACTGAAAACCAGGGAGTACTGGATAGCTGTTTCATCCTAGTTTGGGGATCATCGGCAGTACGCACTCACTGGGGTTCCAACGCAGGACCTCCCGGTCACAAGGCAAACTCGTGTACCATTCAGCCACTGGGACCCGATTCAATGACCCGTGAATTCTAACTTCTACCGACTCGTGATTTAGCCCGACCACAAGGTACTGGGTTCGAACACCAGTGGGTATGTACCGCCGATGATCCCCAAACTAGGATGAAACAGCTATCCAGTACTCCTTGGTTTTCAGTGGTTCTCTAACTGATATCAATCCGTAATCAACTCGTAAAGTATCAAATTGAGAAAAAAATATATAATTTATCGAATATCGTGTGAGGACTGTGAGGTCGATTACATATGCGAAACTAGTAGATCAGGGTTAATTAGATTATCGGGACATAAAAATTTAGGTAGATCTAGAATGACTGACCGTGTGAAGTCAAATACCCGACTGATAGCGACTACCTTGACGTGGTGGTCGGGTTAACACGTCGCAATGCTCCAAGAAGCTATACTGGCTGAAACTATTGTTCCTGCAGGTCCTACCACGCCAGGAAGGTTGTTAGGATAGCGATTAAACTAAAAGCAGTTATCGGCTTAGTGTAAGAAATTTTTTGTACACTATGCTAGGCGTCTGTGGGCGAAGTCGTACTGCTGGGGAACAGGGATGTAACAGCAGTGAGGTGTTTCCCTCAGATGACTAGCATGCCAGCTATGCTGTCTCTCCACTGTGAAGAGAGGGGGTTATAAAAGGTCGACTTCAACAATTGTGCATACCGACTTACCCTACGGTGGTCCGTAACCGGCGGTGAGTTAACTAATACGGAACCATTCCAAGAAACCAGCTCATACAAACCGTATGTGACCGACCTCAAGCAGTTGTCCGCTGAGCTTTGCGGTCCCGCAGGGCTTTGCGGTCCCGCAACACTAACCCTCTTTCTATTTCAGGTACCCGAAGAATCAACCAACTTCCTCGGTGTGGGCAGCCGGGAGAGAACAATCGCCCACACACTTCCAAGAGCACACGAAGCCTCCCCGAGCATTATCATTACGCCATCTATGGCTTAGTAGACGTGGTATCCGGCTGGCTATCGACCAAAGGGCGGATGTGCTGCTCAGTAGTCCGCTCCGTCCTCCTTTATGGCTGGCTGTGAGACCTAGCCATTGAAAGTGGAAGACATGAAAAGGCTAGCTAGTTGTCTTTGATCATAGGTGTCTGAGTTCTATATCCAGTGTTAGTTAAGTGGTATAATAAGGTGAGCAATATTGAGGTTAAGCTTCGGTCAAATGTTAGGTTAGGAGGGGGAATCAATCAACGAGGTTGTGAAGTTACACCGACTGAGATGGTTAGGACATGTGTTACGTATGCCTAAGCATCGACCACCTTTTTCGACGGACAGTGTTACCTGACATAGGGTCAGGCTGCAAAAGAGCTGGTGGTGTGGTGGTCAAATCAAAACATGGCCTCATCAGTGAATGAAATCCACAACAGTTAGTTTGAGCCAGCCACATAGGGAGGTGTAGACTTCCTGACTGACTAGTTGGGGTCATCCGGACAGTAAAAACCAATGGAGGCTGGAGAAAATCGGTGATATGGCTCAAAATCGTTCTCAGTGGTGCAGATGCATCCACTCCTTGTGACTTATAATTTACAATCAAACTATGTTGTTCTTCGTTATTACTATTCCTTTTGTCTCATATCCCTGTCTACTGTCTCTATTTTGCATTTCCTCGTCTTTCTTCTGTTGCTTTGTGTTCTACATGGAGTGTGTCGACTTGAACTGCTGTACATTGGTGCAAAGTTCTATGTCGAAAACAGACAGACAGACAATGAAGTTAAATGATCTAGAAAAAATCTCGACCCACTTACGTGTAGTCACACAATTGGGTGGATTAGAGTAAAACTATTAAAAGTTGATATAGTTAGGTGAAAAGAGAGAAAAAGGCTAATCACAGAATCTTTTTCCATGGAATCAGTACTAAACACATGCAATCCAAATGATGCAACGTCTGTGTCGGATATATGAAAAATTTCAGTAAAAAACATCAGGTTCAGGTATCGAGACTATATAAAGCAAGTAAACAAAGGGGTGAATACATTGATATTGTCGTAACCAATAAGTTATTATCAGTGTTTCATTGTATGCTACATCAGATCAACTCATCTAACATCTAAATTCTACTCGTACATTATTTGAATTAGATATTTATTCTGGGAATTATATAATACAAATTGACAAGCTACAGTCACTGATGAGGTGAAATGACAGATTAATTGTTACCGAGTTTGTGAATTACCAGCTAGCACAAATAACTAAATTAAACTGGTGGAAAAATGTGCTAAACAATGTTAGCTACTCATAAGTAGTACAATCTAGCCACATCAAGTTTATATTGCTGTCTGTCATTGAGCTTATCAGTGTTTCGTTTCATAACCTCACAAACGTAATGAATAAATGGACAAATAAATTCTATGAGATCCTTGACCGTGTTTTCAACCAACGTGTGTCATTCTGGCTTTGACTGAATTCATTCAAACAGTTGTAACTTTATTCTTGAATCGTGTATTTTAACGTGAATGGGTGTCCCCACAGTCGCAAGCTTCCTGTTTAACTGCCTAAAAAGTTGCAGGAAACAAATAAAACAGAGACGCACCAGTTGCTTAAAATCCGTGGGATTGTAACAGATTATAATCAGTTTTACTAATTGTAGCTTGTCATTTACATATAAGTGGTATTTATATCCTATTTCCTACAACAGGGTGTTTAGGTAAATCTCAGTTTTCATTTGACTACTTGTCTTTCGTCTACGTGATATGGTGGTTAGTGACATATAGGCCCTTCATATCTTCTGCTCTCAGTGGCTCAATTTCACAGCCGAAAGGAGATACCTACTACACAGTACACGCGTCTGATTGCTAGTCGGATATCACGTCTACCCCCGGGAAGAAGTAGGTTGGTAAACACTACACTATCCATTTGTATCTGTGCTAGGATTTCGTCAGCAATCAGTCTACCAGGGTTAGTGCAATTTTCCAAATAAGTAGAGGGGTAGTCAACATACTCAGTCATTTCACTCCCTATCCATAACGTAGGATTTAGTGCAGACCAGTCTGGCGGCATCATGTTACATTTAACTGGGGTGAATTTCACGCCGAACATACCAATATTTTAGCTCAAGTACTTCAGAATTCTCCGCACTTCGCCTGCATCTTAATGTAGAAGGATTATATCATCCGTATGCTCTTAATAGACTAGATATAGCCTGGGTAATAAGTCAATCTCTAAGTCTTCGAAGTCGAATAGGGTCACATCCATTGGTACATTTATGATGAAATTCAGAGGAATGGAGACTTTGGGAATCCTTTATGGATAACACCGTTTCTCATCACTTCAGATAAATACTCTCCATAATCCCTTAGACGACTGCATGAGTTCTAGCAGATGGCAAACATTTTCACGATACCTCTTGGTTGGCGGAGCCAAATTCTTCCTTTAAGTTGAGAAATATGTCAAATGTTAGACTTCGGTAATTATTCTTGTGTTTCAAAATCTGTCGAAGAGTGAAAATATGAACAATATGCCGCATTCCTGGCTTAAATCATACTTGGTTTTCATAGGTTTGTTTCTTTTGAACTCTGTTTAGTCTACACAGCTTCAGAGAGTTTAGAAGTTCCGATCCTACTTTGGTCAACCTGATCTTACTATGATTATCTCAGGAACACTTCTTTACCTTCTCATAATTTTAAACTGAGACAAACAGTGATTTTACACCACTTCACTGGGACTATCTCAGATTCCCACACATAATCTAGCATCTTAGCTAACTTAGTCAATACTTCGTCACCTCTGGAATCACACGTCCTGATACCTCTGCTTTACCTCATTTTCTTTTAGAGATAGCTTTTGCAACTTTAGTTACAGTTGAGCAACCCGTGTGCACATCCTATTCAGGTAGGTGTTTGATGTTGGGCAAATTTAGCCTGGTTGTAGGCCAGTTGAATTGCTTCTGAATGTGTTCTCTGCAATGTTCCACTCATCCGTTTTGAGAAGTAATTAAAGTGCACTTCTGAGAAATTGTTCGACTCACCATTGGGCTTTTTTTAAAAAGGCCGTTTCCATAATGAATCTAAGTAGTTTTCGGGCATTGCCTACGCTGAATGCTTTTTTTCAACTTCTTTCGATTTTCTCGCCAGCGATAGTTCACTGCTTTTATATTCCTGTTCACCAGTGGTACGAATTTGCCCTCAAGCTGCGACTTACACTGTGATAGTAGCTGCTTTTAGTTCAACATCTGTCTAAACGACTTTTGTCGCTTAGTAGGATCTGCAGGAAAATATGTTCCAGTTAGTGTTGCTGGCTTTGTCTCTGTGGTATGCTGCAAGCTCGACCACCGCGTTAGAGTAGCAACTATCGGTTGCTAAATGCAACCGTTTTTCTCGAAAGTTCAGATTTAATGTAAGTTATGCCGCTGAATCACCGCTAAAAATACCACAAAGGTGGTATGTTGTCTTTCATAAGTACCAATTGATGGCACACAATTCTGCGCTTTAATAATACTCTTTACTTTTTGTTTACATTTACATTTTGTTTTAAATTGTCTACAGGAAATATAAGTCTGCCAGTGCTTCTTCACATATTCGGTCAACTTCATGTTCATCGAATAAATCTGTACTACCCCGGTTTTCCTTGACACATCGACGTACTGCTTCAGGTGATCCAAAACTTTTAAGCAATATGTCTAGTCGTAATAGTGAAGGTGAGTTCATTAATTGAGACAATTATCTAATTCTCGACTGAAGCCTTTATTTTGTTTTATAAATCATATTATGTGAAGTTTATCAACTCTTCACATTATTATTATTATACTCCTAGATACTTGTTTTAGTCAAATCAATGGGCATTCAATAGACAAAGGATTCGGTAGCTTATATAACGGAAAAGCCCATGAATAATTCAGGTGGTTTCATGCAGAGATTAAGAACAAAATATTGTGGTTCTACTGATAGATAATTTCAATGAGTTTATACTGGTTTGTTGTTTATTAATGTTCATCTTTGATAAGAACTATAATATCTCTAATTAGTACTCCCCGGAATGATTATACTCAATGTTGTAGAAAGTTTTTGTTAAACAGTAAACGTTTTTTAGTCTTTGTGATTACTGAGAGTGCACATGATAATTGGCGGTTATTATACTTTAAACTAGTTTAAGAAAATTAGCACAGGTTTGTGCTCTTCTTAAATATCAATCACCCTTGTGGACCCTCGTGAAAATCCCTGGATTGCACTACTGTTTCCTTAATGATATTTCCTTAAATTTATAACCACGTTTGCTAGAATAACCGTTGTCTTTCTGATGGATTCTTCTGTATTCATTTTTTTTCCTTCCTTGTTTTTGAAAGATATTCCATCTCAGAACAAGCAAAGTCCATCATCTTCTCCTCGTCACTACAACAGCTCATCTCCGAAATTTAGTGCTTTAGATAAACGACATAGAAATGTAAGTTCTACCTTGCAGTTTACATAACATTATATATAACCTTGAATACAACAAGCAATTAATATAGAGATATTTCGGTGTCCTGGCATTATTAATAAATGCTGTAACCTACATCAATGTCTTGGAAATACATAACTTGATCTAGTTACTGTCCTTAACTTCAAGTTACCTCACGACCTAGCCAATGCATCGGTCAGCAATCACTTCTGATATGACCTTATTGGTTCCCAGCTATGGTCACATTTCTCAAGCATACATTAATGAATAATTCATCGACTCACTGGTTTAATGTATATTTATTCATGTATGTATAATGTATGATTATCTTAATAAAACGACTGTAGTGGTTGTGTGACAGCAACTTATGGGCTTAGGTATTCACAAACTGAAGCTTCCATTATCTTACCTAAGTTTATATGCTACCATTGGTGGTCGATATAAACCGTCTTGTGCAAAAACCTGTTTGTGCTTAGTAAGTGACATCTCATTATGATTATTATTGTTCCTTTGGGTTGCGGGTGGGACATAGGCCTTCAACAACACATTTCCACTTGGTTCTATTTTCTGCTGTCCTCTTCAGCTGTGCCCATGATTTCCAATAATATATCATCTTCTCCTCCTCGCACTATCACCTCCATGTCAACCTTGGACTACCCACTCGTCGTTTCACACTTGGATTCCACTCGAGTGATGACCTGCACTGCTCACGATGTCATTCGATAGCATCCTCAACGTATGTCCGATAAATCCATCTCCATTTTCTTCTGCATATTTGTTGAGCAATCGACTCTCGCACTCTGTTGGTTTGTTCCCAGCCAGAGTTTCTTGTGGCTAATTCTTTCTGGCCAGCCAGCCAGCCAGCCAGCGAAGGTGGCAGCTGTTGATAAAAGACTATAACCTGGTGGAAGATATGAATATTTGGTGGCTTTTGACCATAAGTATCAGATTTCATTTCGTGATTTTCATTCTTCGTATCATTTTGATTTCAACGGAAAGGGATACACAATGGATTTGTACATTGGTCATAGCAATATGACTATCACCTATGCATATTTCAGTATGCACTCCTCTCGGTTTCTATACATAAGATATTGAAAGGTGTTCTGATACCAATCTTGTGATTCTTATTAATGAGGCTTGTTTTTGAGAAGCTTGGTGGTGTGCCACGTGATTTTGTCGAACCATATGGGTAAAAAAAAAACAATACAGTTTCGATTTCAATATCATTAAAAAATTATGATGTCGAATATTTAATTTCTTCAGTTGTTGTATTTTTTTTGGCAGTGAAAGAATATTCAAAATTTGAACACTGAACTAACAGAATCTTGCGTAACCCCACTGTTCTTTGTTATGTCAGGAAGCGATTCACACTGTATGCCAGACCACGAGCTGGCGTGGTCAGTGGGAATACCCTTTACCACTAATAAATTACCAGCCGAAATAAAAGCCTAACTTTTCACTACAAAAAGAAAAACACAACTCAGTTCTGCCTTTGTTAGTTTGCTATTGTAACAATAAACTCTCCTCTGATCCGAAACACAGGTCTCATTGCTATTTCAATTGATTTTTGTTTGTTTACATATACACTCGTTCAGCTACTGTAAAGCGTTGGGCGTTAATTGTCTAATTTCTTGCATGACAGAGAACAGTGCTAGAAGCAGGGAATGGTATTTATATCGGCTAAGTCGTCGTCATATGTAATGATAAAATAAAAAAACCTTACAATCACAAAGTCATGCAATACAAACCACCGTCATTTTTTCTGCATTTCAGTCTGTATTCCCAAGTGTATTGTAAATTTGTATTCTCCTTCTTTTTCTTTGTATTTCTACTCAACATTGTAAACTACGTTCTACAGAACCTTACTTAACCAGCGCCGACTGTTATTTTTCTTCAATATAAAAGGTTGTAAGTGTCGTATTATCTTCAACTTTTCTGTAAGTGGCTTTTATCACCACAGCAATGTTTACATGTTTATCAATTTTTTAGATAACAGATATGTGATGCGTATATTTTCTTCATGCAGCTCCATCGTGCCAGTCTTGATGATTTTGTGTTTTTCTTGAAACATGGACTGGGAACAAAGAAGCCAAGTGAGTTTTTGCTTTTTTTCCTCAACTTACTGAATATTGTACATTGAATTCACTGAATTACCATCTCATTATTCTATTCTTGGGCATAGAGAAGTAGCTTAACTGTGTGGTGCGTTAATTTGACATATTAGATTGCCAATGTAATTGGGTTAACTTTGGTATTTGTCATCTTTTTGTGATTATTAGAAAGCACCCAGAAGGCTAGTGAAAATCCCATGGAACTACAGCGATTTGTTGAGCTCTGGAAGCAGATATCTGGTGTCTGAAAAGACTATTCCATAAGAAGATACAATCAAAGCAAAGCTATGTTTCAGTTGCTTGCAAAGATATTTTGGTGGTTTTCATAGAAAAATCAGCCAGATCACAATACTACTCAAAATTTCTAAACGACTGTGAGATACATAAATTAGTCTCACAATAGAACGACACGGTTTTTTAAGCCTTAAAGATGTTTTGATCAGAAATGGGTGCGCACTGATGAAGAGTCCCAAACCAGGACAAAACAGCCGTCCAGTACTCCCTGGTTCTCAGTATTTCTCTAACTGAGATCAAACTTAGGAAGTTCATTTTTTTACTGGTATTGTATTAATGTTCGGCGAACTTATTGCTATGATGACTGAAAAAAATGCCCTAAACCAATGTACAAATCCATTGTGTATCCCTTTCCGTTGAAATCAAAATGATACGAAGAATGAAAATTAAGAGATGAAATCTGATACTTATGGTCAAAAGCCACCAAATATTTACATCTTCCACCAGGTTACAGACTTATCAAGAGCTGCCACTTTCACCGGTTGGCTGGGAACAAACCAACAGAGTGCGAGAGTCGATTGCTCAACAAATATGCAGAAGAAAATGGAGATGGATTTATCGGACATACGTTGAGGATGCTATCGAATGACATCGTGAGCAGTGCAGGTCATCACTCGAGTGGAATCCGAATGGGAAACGACGAGTGGGTAGTCCTAGGGTGACATGGAGGTGATAGTGCGAGGAGGAGAAGATGATATATTATTGGAAATCATGGGCCCAGCTGAAGAGGACAGCAGAAAAAAGAACCAAGTGGAAATGTGTTGTTGAAGGCCTATGTCCCACCCGCAACCCAAAGGAACAATAATAATTCATATCTTCCACTTTCAGCAACTATTTTTCCCCGCCATAAAGTTAGGTGGTGCTAATCGCTGTATAATAAAAATACCCTCTGTTGAAGTAGCCAGATATCACATATGCGCTGAAGGTGTTGTATGTTAACAAATTCCAAACGAGACTTATATATTTTTCGGAGATTTCGTCATGAACAGTTGATCATCAAGACTGATACAGTTCCCCTTATTAGCAGAGAATATATAAAATAAGGAATTTTACTATAGTATTGCCTACACCGTGCGTCGGTGGCATAGTGGTTAGGACGGTCGCCGACCATGCACATGGTCCAGGGTTCGATCCCCTGCTGGCGCACTCTCTTACCTCGCTAAGCCAGAACTAAAAAGCTGGTGAAGAGGATAGGTCGGGTATGAGGCTAGCAACCCCATCATGTAAAAATTAACACTGCTACAGAAACTTCAAGCCTCTAGCTTGAAGCCCTATGTTCCACTGGGAACGTGAAAGAATAAAAAAAAATTACCTACATCATTATAAACTTCAATTGGAAATTTTTATGCAAAGTAGAGGCTGTTATAAGAATAAAACTTGGCACTGTGGTAGAGTGTAATTATGCAGTTATGCTGTTATGCGGTTAATGGATCTTCACTGTAAGTTCGTTAGTTTTTGACTTAGTATGGTCGGTGTTAGAACCTTACGATAAATAATTCAAAGAAGATGTAATAGTTAGAGGTATTGAACTCTATTTTCTTGAATTATGTCAAACAGTTATAACTGAAAATAGGTGGTTGTGATAGTGACTTGATATCGAAAGTTTTTTATGAATACTTTGGTGACACATTATTCACGATTTATTTTCAGCTTATTTCTTGTTTCTCAAAAAAAATCCTTATAATTCCTATTTTACCATTATAGCTCGACGAATTTCTTGCAAAGATCTTGGACAAGGAGATTGTCAAGGTTGGCTGTGGTTAAAGAAAACAAATACACTGACTAGTAAATACGTGAAAAGATGGTGTGTTTACAAAAATTCAACATTCTACTACTATAGAAATCCTAATGTAGGTTCAAAATTAATTATCACCAATAAAATGATCTGTTCACTTCTTGTTTTAGGATGATTCAGCTGAAGGTTTAATTCTACTTCATGGCTTTACCATCACTCCTGCAGTCTCAGTAAAATCTGGAAAATTGTAAGTTCTTTAGTTGAAATTTTAACAGCTGAAATGTATGATACCAATCACACTCCTAGTGACATATAATCTCATAACTGAGTTATTTGTCTGCATATTAATTGACCTTATGATCATTTGTTGTGCTTAAACTGGTGAATTATTTTTGAAGATGCTCATTAACAATTAACACATACTAATTATGGTTAACACTAAACATTCCTTTCGATAATTTCTTGTTTAGCCTGTACAGATAATATGTTGGTATTAGTTGAGGAATAATTGTTATTAATATAACATTCTTGTCGGCGACTGTACCGCTTTGCAAAAGCCGGTTCTCGTCCGACCACTGGGGTTCAGCGAAGTTTAGCACTGCTAGTACTTCACTACGTCGGTGATTCAGTGATAGAATACTCACCAACAACGGAAGTGGTGCGAGATTTGACCCCCCAGCCGACATATTCCTGAATTGAATATCGTCTAGTCGGTAAGCCTGGTAAAGAAAGAGAGAAGGTTGAGTGTGCGGCTGGTTACCTCATCCTTTGGAAAATAAACACCACAGCTACTGCAACTTCAAAACTGAAGCTCGAAGCGCCATTTTCCAATCGGAACTCATAGGAATAAAAAAAATAACATTTATATTTCTATAAAATAGAAAGATTAGAGGTCGAAGAATTAGAGTTTTTTTGCCAGAATGATGTATATAGTACACTGATGTTAGATCTCATTTCAAAACAAATGTGATAAGCGTAGGTATGGCACTGAATTCACCCTCAAATATTTCAGTGAAATACGTCCTTCCTGGTTTTGTGATTGTAAAGTATATTAGATTTCTTAAAAAGTTGTCTTTAAGGATCTAGAGTAAAGAGGTGTTGAATTAGAAGAAGTATCTTTCAAAGTCACACAGTGGAACACTATTGCAGGAAAACTTGAACTTATGTGTGTAATTAATAGCTGTGAGATGGCTCATTTCATCTGTCTGATGCTAATGTACCGATTTTCCGCTCATCTCTCGGAAGTCACACTGGCTCTAGTTTGAGAATTCATTTTACCCTCCTTTGAAGGCATATTCCGAAGCGGTTTCACAAGAGTAAAAGGAAAACTACTGGGGATTTCGGTCTAGAACCTTTGCTAGAATACTACCAACAAATTTAAGAGGTATTCAGACCCGAATAACTTGATGACAACGTCTGTGATTACAGCACTGTGTGACTCAGGTTCGAATCTTAAAGGGGACATCTATCATCTCAAGTCTGCAGATATACCATGCTGATGAGTAGCAATAAGCACGAAACCTAGATTCAGAATTGTCAGCGAATCACTTCCAATCATGAATTGAAGAAGCGTGCTTTAATGAAGAGTCTCCTAGATTGGCGGGCATATCGCAAACTGAATGTGAGAGAACCTAGTCGGCACCAACTTTAAGATGTAGACACATGCTACTGGTTACTCCTCAATGACCAGTTATCATAAATGTAAATTTCCACTGAAGCGAAGTGATGTGAGCATCGGGTATTCAGCTTTCGAAACTACATGAATTCAAACGAACTTAATCTTCTGTTCTAATTGTTTCAATAACTAAACTCGATCTTCTAATAACACTATTTAAATTAGTTAAAGGGACTAAGTGTTTTCAATATCTGACTACTACTGAGCAAAATGTAAAATATGTGATACCAATGGATATTTTTAAGACTGAGTTTCTTTCAGGTTTCTATCAATAGCTCATTTGGAAAAATACTGAAGTCATTTATATATGGTTTATAACGCCCACTTTATTCCCACCTGGAAATAATATTGATTACTTCCCTTCCTCTATCTTTAGTGCATTTTTCATTTTTAATGACTGGGTTCGCTTTGTATTTGCCTCGGACTCTGAACTCGATCGATCCAAGTGGATGAATAAGTTGGGCTTAGCTTCAATCGGATTGTCATCCTGCGTGCCAACTTCTCGTATCGGTGGTTTCAATCCTGGCTACTTGGTTTCTCATGGCACTAAAAATAGTGAAGTAAAATCAGAGGTTTCTGCTCTTCAATCAGCTATATTGGATTCCCCTGTATTGACTGTGCAAGGGACTAATATAACTGGATCCAGATCTCAGCCTTCATCTGGTTCTAGGAAGACGAGTTCTGTAGAGATCACTGCAGTAACAACAGTTCCTCAGCCTCTTATTTCTCTGGTAAATTCTCAGGTGAGTTGTTCTTTGTAGATTTTACTAAGTTGGTAGTCATTTTTTCGTGGGTGAGAAATTATTATTTAATCTCCTATGGAATTTGGTTAAAATACCCCAACAATATATATTTCTAATAAGTTGGGATCTGTATAAAGTTTTGTATAAGTTTGTATAAGGTTTTATACTTGAAATACAATGTATTACAATACCATGACAACAAAAGCTGTAGTTTTGATTGTGGGTGCCTACTAAATTTAACAATGTTGGTTCACTGTGTAGTAAATTCTTTTCCTTTTTGTGATCAGATGACCTGATTAGGTTGTTTTCTAAGACACCTTAACCTGAATGTAGTGATTTTTTGAGACAACGAATTTCTAGATTTCAGATTAACATGATTGTTTTGATACTGTTTAGGCCATCGCGTTTTGACTGGTGGATAGACAGCACGATAGAAACAGATATGTGTCATTCAAATGAACTGTCGTCAAGATTTGACCGAATAGTTCTAAAATATCTGGGCGCCGAGTGAGAAGTAGACATTTGTAAAAAATTATATTTGTAATATCTCAGCGATATTGAAATGAGTAGTTCCAACGTTTCGTTCGGCAGTCTGGTCCGAACTTCTTCCCTGAAGAAGTTCAATATCGCTGAGATATTACAAATATAATTTTTTACAAAAGGTATGTGTCAGTTGAAGTTGATGCGTTTTACAACTGCAGTTAACTGTTGCTATACTTCGACATTGTGGAGTGTGTCAGTCAAGTGTGTAGTACATATTGTGCTTCAGATACACCCAGTGCAGTGACTCACCTAACGTGACCTGTCTAACTTTGTGACTGCACAAAGTCGAAGGTGGCAAGCATGAAAAGATTAAGGGTTTTCGACCGTAGATGACTACGTGGTAAGATATTGTCAGTAATACATAGTATGACTTAGCGCTTTGTGAAGTGTGGCCGCTTGAAGTACTGCACTTTTACACAAACTTCTTTGCTAAGAGTTCATTTCAGTGGACTGTTTCATAAATCATCAGTCATCACATTCAGGCTACTGAGTTCACCTTACATGTTTATCTAACTGACTGGTTTCAACATAGAACTTTGCACCAATGTACAGCAGTTCAAGTCGACACACTCCATGTAGAACACAAAGCAACAGAAGAAAGAGGAAGAAATGTAAAATAGAGACAGTCGACAGGGATATGAGACAAACGGAATAGTAATAACGAAGAACAATATAGTTTGATTGTAAATTATAAGTCACAAGGAGTGGATGCATCTGCACCACTGAGAACGATTTTGAGCCATATCACCGATTTTCTCCAGCCTCCATTGGATTTTACTGTCCCGATGACCCCAACTTGTCAGTCAGGAAGTCTACACCTCCCTACGTGGCTGGCTTAAACTAATTGTTGTGGATTTCATTCACTGGTGAGGCCATGTTTTGATTTGACCACCACACCACGAGCTCTTTTTCAACCTGACTCTATGTCAGCTAACACTGTCCGTCGAGGAAGGTGATCGATGCTTAGGCATACGTAACACATGTCCTAACCATCTCAGTCGGTGTAACTTCACAACCTCGTTGATTGATATCCCTCTCCTAACCTAACATTTGACCGAAGCTTAACCTCAATATTGCTCACCTTATCATACTACTTAACTAACACTGGAGATAGAACTCAGACGGCTATGATCAAAGACAGCTAGCTAACCTTCCCATGCCTTCCACTTTCAATGGCTAGGTCTCACAGCCAGCCATAAAGGAGGACGGAGTGGACTGCTGAGCACCACATCCACCCTTTGGTCGATAGCCAGCCGGATATCACGTCCACTAAGCCATAGATGGCGTAAGTTGGCATATTCCAAACGAGTCTTCTGCATCCGTGGTGAGATTTTGTCAGCGATTAACCCGCTGGAGCTGGCTGATGCGATTTCCGAAATAAGTGAAGTGGTCAACGTGCTCTACCACTTCACTCCCTGTTTGTAAGGTAGGCGTAGTCGGTGTAGTCCAGTCCTGTAACATCATCTTACATATGGGGGGAGCGAATTGCATGTCAAACATTCGTTTTCTTGAAAATTATGTAATTTTCCGTGTAAGCAGTTCATATATACTATTGTACTTAATGTCTGCACAGTTAACCTATGTTAATCAAAAGCTTAAAAGTGTCTCAGAGAGTGCTTCTAAGCTTCAGGCTGTATTGGCTTTATCGGCGTTGAATTCCAATTTTAATTCAGCGTGATATTCAATAACAACTAACCTGTTCAAAGTGACAGATCTAATGACGCCCAAAATTGCATACCAATAATATTACCCCCAGTCAAATCTCCAGTCTTTGCTACAGTAACTGGAATGTAAGATGCGCCATTGGTGGTAACAGCTTCGTCAAATATTACTTAAGTGGATCTCAAGGTATAGTTATACTAGATTTTCGAACAGTAGTGATCATTCAAAGAAGATTGTAACACTCCATTCGATAGGATTTGTAATTTAGCAGACATAATCAGTTGCAAGGGTAGGCAAATTTTCTCAAGTCTTTCTTTTAATTGCTGTTTTGTTTAGCGAAATGGTATGGCGTTATAAGTCTCACACTAAAGTATGGTTATGGTTCAGTAACCTTGTTTAATAATTATTTTGATGAGCTCGAATTCACTTCGTCTAAGTCAACCCGTGTATACCATCATATTTCGTCGCACATTAGAGATGTGATCAACATTTTTGCGAATGAAACTAAAATTTCTCTGACTTTTTCTAGTGTCTGAATAGTTAAGTCTATATTAGATAATAGCGCTTTATTTGTTGTTCTAAACATAAAGCAGTGTAGTTTTTTGTATTCATAATCTTTCCTAATATAAAGTATTGTCTTTTTGATATTTCAGCGGGCATTATCTCCTTCAAAACACGAACCAATACATTCGAACTCATCTCCATCGTTTTCTGTTTCGGATTTACGTTCTAGTTCATTACCATCTGAAGCAAATGCTATTTACCCCATGGTTTTCCCTCGGAATAGTGCTCTTCCACCCTCAGTTGGACAGTCGTCATCTCCTGCACGTACTAGAAGTGGACAACGTCAACCTATTGACATAACTTCAGCCGCATTTGGATGTTATAGTGAAAGCGAAGATGAGGCAGAGGAAGAAATTGAAGCTGAATGCGATGTTGATGACAGTATTGATTACAGCTGTCTTCCCGAGGATAGTTCGCGCCTGAACCTTCGAAATCGACCAGGCTCTGCATCCCCTTTGCAAGGTCGCAGGCTATCTATCATTTCGTCTGGGACAGAAAAGGCTGGAAGTCTGAAGTCATATAAAAAACTAAGTTCATGTGAAGGTGAACCACGTGGTGTTTCTGCTGTGCATACTTCAACACACTCATCACATCCATTAAGAGCTGCACACATTATTATGAAAAACCTGTCTAATTCAGAAAAAATTCTGACAATCGAAAGACACATTGGTGTAAGACACAACGAATCAGTTCCAGAATTCAGCAGTAGAGTTTTTGATGGTGAAGATCTTGAACATTGATTCGATTTTCTTTGATTAATTTCTTTTTGTCTGACATAATATACTTTCATTGTTTTCATCAGGCCTAACATATTCACTTACCCTGTGATGTTTTCTTTATTTCTACTTGGATTTTATTTATTTTCAAATAATATAATATCAGTTATAATATCTTAATTCATTTGAATACAAAATAACCGTCTTAAGGTATCGTGCTCAATAAGTATGCCATATTTCCAAGTATTGATTTTGTAGGGATTTTGTTTGATTGCATGGAGGATTTCATCACGAGCTGACATCAGTTAGAGAACCAGTGGAAAACCTGGGAGCACTGGCGGCTGTTTCATCCCAGTTTGGGACTCTTCAACAGTGTGCCGCCACCGCGGTTCGACCCCAGGACCTGGCTACAAGGCGAGCTCGTAGACCATTGAGCCACTGGGATCTGATCCTATGGTCCTTGAATTATAACTTCTGCCAATTACGACATAGCGCCACCATTTCGCAATGTCTTCTCCGATGAGCTACTGCCTCATCTTCAACCTGCTGTACCCTACTGGTCACGGCTTCCCAGTATGCCATAGTGACAAACATCAGGAGTGCATTTGTAATTGAAAGGTATCCATGTATTCTATCGTACAACTGTTACTGATTCCAACTACTAGACTATATCCCAAAGCAGAGTTGTATGTATCCTATTTGGTTGAACATAACCATTAGAGTAAGAAAAGACCGTGACACCAGTCGATGCCCTTTCATAATTTCCGCAAATGCCCACATTGAACTCTCCTTCGGACGAAGTTAAGGATGCATTGTATTAAAAAGCTATCCAGCTAATAAGAGAATAAAAGACGCTCAGATGAAGTCATTTAATGCAGGCGACTTCACCACACAAAAACAGAAGCTACAACTGGTCAAAAACATTGATATAAATATAAAAAACTTGGGCAATATGGTAGAGTATAACTCCATTATGGATAAGATTTTATTTGGATAAATCACACAGTGTTATACAGTAATATTAACTGATGACATTTCGCTCACAAACTATTGTTCATAATGATATCAATTCCCTCACGCAAGTTTTTTCTTTCATTTATATACATGTGTGGAATTGATTAGATATTTGAATAAAAATCAAACGTCATCAGTTTATATTACTGCATAACACTGTGTGATTTATCCAAATAAAGTTTTATTCATAATGGTCAAAAGCATTTATTTGTAGACCATTGGAAGTCCATGTTGAAAACCGGCGACAACGCCCACCTTTACAGTATTTTTAAGAATCTGTACACCGTTGCGTTAAATGTGTTTATTATGCTTAACTGTAAATATACATCATTCAAAAAAAAAACATTGAGACTGCTTGATGAAAATAGAACCAGCAACGACTGAACTCACGTAGTCTATTGATTTCACCTGGATACACTCATTCTTTGCATATAGTAAAGAACTCCTCTTTAGTGCTGAACGTGTCGACAGACTTACTAGTAATATTTGCAAAATCAAAGTCTTCAGGGTAGACAGTGATATGATTCACGGAGAATTCAAAAAGCTCACTCTTCATATTGAAGTCTGCACCGAGGTTGTTGTCGAGAGAGACACAATGAAAGCTTCGGAAACCAGCCATCCAGTTCAGAGAACACAACTACACCGATATCATTCACCTTCGCTACAAATCCTCTCGATGACTTACCAGTGATCAATGACAAGCTTAATTGTCTTGTATTTGAGTTAGGCGGCAGATATGTAGGTTATGATATGACAAATTATTTGTATTCCACATAAGACGTAATTTAGAAATGAAGAAGTGTATTTGACTGTTTGATAATTAGTGTCTATATCCAGAAGGAGGTTTAGTAAGCTGGAAATGCGAGAGTTAGTTTCGAGATTAACTATAGTAGTTCAGCTGCTAGGATTGTAGGAAACTGTGTCAAAGGATCCCTGATACATGTGACTTATCATTATTAGTGTTTCATCAGCGTGTACATGGCAGTCAATATTTGGTCAGAAGGGTCGATTCATTTCCATGATGTATATAAGAGTCGATCAGAAAGTGAAACAGTATTTCCTTATACTCGTGTACACGTGTGAATGCCACCCCTTGTCACATCATCCATGATGATGTGTTATAACAGTTCACTTATTTTCAAATCTTCAGACAAGATCACTCTCTCTCTTATTTTGTATTTCAGATTGATGAAGTGGTGGATATATACGCGTTCCTACAGACAGCGATCTCACTCACATGGAAGGATTGAATTCCGTCCTTTATTATCTAACGATTTACGTTGACGTTATGGATTGGACAAGTAGTCGTATCACACTTACTATATTGAATATAGCCTTATCGACCGACACTTACTAGTCGATTTTATATTTATGTTCACTAAGTGATTTAATTAAAAATGGACTTTTCTACGTGTCATTTTTGTTTTCTTCTACATTGTATTATTTCGGTGGCGGTTGGTAGCAGTGACTTTATGAAATCAGTTATGCTTTGCTGGAATATTCAGAAGTATACACTGAAATGTTGTTAACTAGCGAGATGTGTGATAATAAGTGGTATCAGATTTGGCAGAGTATACTGGCGTTTAGAAAGTTAGTGATTCCAGACTATTGAATGAAGAGTTATGCTTGACTGCTATTGAAAGCCTATTTCCCTTTCTTATATTCACAATGGTGCCTATTGGTTCTACAGGCATCTGAAAACAAGGTTTATCCATATAGTCAAGAGTGGATGTCGTTCATATTTCATATTTCTGCTGATAAGGAGACAAACTAAAACAACTCGCAGTAACCGGGTGACTCAGAGAAAGGACATCATCAGGTGAAACAGAATGACATCATTTTATCATCTTGTCTTCTCATCATGTGATTCAGTAAAGTAAGGTTAATCGATAAGAAGTGGTATGGGATATTACGCCACAAAGTAATTTTGAAAAGTGTGCAAATAAGCTGGAGTTGTGAATCTTATTCGACAGAGAGTTTAACAAAGTCATAATGGTATGTCTCGAACAGATTGTGTAAGAAAAGCTAGCAGATAGATAAGTCGATGGCCGTCAACAAACAGATTACGTAAAAGGCCAGTTTAACACAGTTAGCTGAAGTCAAACACGGAAAAATGTCAATGGAAAAAATTGTTATCAAGATAAAATAAACACTAGTGATTATCGTGAAGCGAAAGCAGGAATGATGCGCCAGTCAAAAACGTCCATTCATGGAAGGTAGCTTGGTTGTCTCATGCAGCCAAACTGACAACGGCGGTCATTTTGCAATCCTGACCAAATAATCACTTCATACAGGTCAGCACTATTTTCAAGCATGAGGAGAGACACTGTCTCACCTGACGACCTTCGACACCGAGTCGACTATGGATTCAAACAGATCACGTGGTGATTGGCTGTCGATAGAGAGGGTCAGTAGAAGACTCCCGCTACTTCTAAAACGCCTGTGTAGACTACCAGCATGCCCTGACCCTTGCATATATATGCCAACGACTGAGAAGATATAGAAAACGGGCAGCCGTCAATCCGCCACACCCCTGATTTGACGAGAAGTCAGGGCTTTTATTTAGGGAAGAAATAGCTCAACACGTATCTGAGACCGACAGTAATATGTATCCTGTCGAATGTCGAGACAGTAGTAAGGCAGTCAATAACCTGAAACCAGCAGTTAGTCAATACCAGTGGATTTCTTCTGATTTATCTGGACGCTGAATAAATGTCTTTGCAATGAGCGTGAACAGTGGTAGGTGAGAAATGCGAAAGAAACATGAGCTGTAGGTAACACAAGAAAACTATTTGGACTCATTATACCTGTAGAACCGCAATGGTGAGTGGAACGATTTCTGAGAAGAAGCGTAGCTTGCTTACTTCCAAGAATGGATGAATGCAACATTGGAGAGAGCACTTTCGGGAACAATTCAACTGGCCTTCAAACAGACTTACTTGAATAGGATGTATACATGGGTTATGCAACTATAACTGAAATAGCAAAAGCTGCCTCTAGTCGAAAATGTGGTAAATCAGCGATATCAGGAAGTCGCTGACTCCAGAGGTGTTTAGGAATGACGGTGACGAACTATTGACTAGGATGTTAGATTATGTGTGGGAATCTGAGGTAGTCACACTGGACTGGTATCAATCAGATCATTGATCGTGCCAGTTTATAAGTATCAGAAGGGAGACAAGACTACCTTCGATAACCATAGAGGGATTAGCTTGACTGATATAGTATGTAAAATCCTCTGTTCAATAATCATGCGGCGACTGAGTATTACTTAGGAGGAACAAATCTATGAAAACAAGGCGACCTATGAACCAAGACTGTGGTGTATCTTTCATATGTTCACCCTTCGATAGATTCTGGAAAATAAGAATATCAACCGGCGTCTTCTTGGCCCGAATATGGAATTTGACTACATCGACCGAGAGGTAGTGTGGAAATGTCTGACTGTGAGGGGAGTGCCGAGAAAGTAAATAGTGCTAGTTAACGCGCCCTACTAGAACTCAAATAGTCATTTAAGAGACTATGGAAGGTTTTCATCTGATTTGATGAGAACCGGTGTTGTCCATCAGGGATGCCCAATGTCTCCCATCTTGTTGAATTTCATCATAGCTGAACTAATGGATGCGACATAGAAATTGACTTGTTACCAGAGAACGCTCCCATCGATTTGGAGTGTACAGATGAGATAGATAGATAGATAGACATATGATACGCAGGTACAAGCGAAATGAAGAGACATCTAAACAACTTGAGCAGAAATCTTGGTATGTTTGGTACGCGATTCGCCCTTGTGAGATATAAAATGATGCTGCAGGATTAGTCTACGCTGACTCCTATTTTGCTGATACGCAGCGAAATGGTTGAGCATGTCGACCACTTCATTAATTTGTGGAGTTGCATCAGCCCTAATGGACTGGTAGCTGACGAAGTTTCAGCACAAATACAAAGGGCTCTGTGTGGTTTTTACCAATTTCCACCATGTCACCTATATATTTAGAAGATTGAGACACGTGTTACTCATGCCAAGGCATCGCCTTTCCGATCGAACAATCGCTTGCTAATAAACTAACAAAATGTAATCACTGGTTGGATTGAATGACTGCGAGTCTAGAAAAACAGTTGAGCTGTTCCAATTTTTGTTACACATTTTGTAAACATGAAGATTAATAATGAGAAGAAAAGTGGACGTTGAGGGTGATATGGTATGTGCTTCACAATGGACAATTAATCCACGAAAGTTCACACGTAAATAAGTGATTTGCATCATTGTAAAAACAAAGTACAACTCTTAACCAATGCACTTGAGAATAATTGGGGGAAAAACTATTACCCACTACTCAAGAGGAAGTTAATCTAGCAAGGAATCGCGATGATTCATTAAGAGGCGTGTATATTCGATGAGAATAGTTTGTTTTACTGGAATCGATTGTATAAATACTCTCTAGTATCTTCTTTTGTAGTTTAGATTAATACATTCATGTAAAAATTCAGAACCCAAATTCAATGGGAGCAGTAGTTGTAGATTTTGACTGCATCATACTGAAAAACAAGGAATCTAGATTGTGTATGCGAGTCAATGTGATATGAGAGTATTCTCCTCTAGAAAGCTTGTTCCTCAAAATAATCCCATGAATGATATGACTTCGTTAATAAACGCCTAACACTGTCGTCGTATAAGGACAGTAGTTATGAGTTGGCTGACATGTGTTCCGCATACAAATTGGG